GAAGAGAGAGAGGAAGGTCACGCTCTCTCTCTCTCTCTCTCTCTCTCGCTCTCTCTCTCGCTATATATATATATATATATATATAGAGAGAGAGAGAGAGAGGGAGAGAGATAGAGAGAGAAAGTGAGAGAGAGAGAGAGAGAGAGAGAGAGAGAGATAGAAGGAGGAATGAGAAACACACAAAGACATTTTTCTTATCATATCAAAACTTTCATCCAAGCGGACACCAACACGTTTCTTATCATATCAAAACTTTCATCCAAGCGGACACCAACACGTTAGCATCTCTTAGACCACATCCATCTGACAGATAATAAGGTTGTTTTAAAATAAAATGTAAATAAAATAAAAAATGTATTGAAATTGGGAAGATGTATGTCTTCCCATAAACATCGAAAGCACTCTAAGACACTTATATGTTAGTAGGCTACTGGTCAACATTAATATTTATTCTTTATTTTATATTTCATTTATTCATTAGCCAAAAGCAAAACCAAACTTCTCTCTCTTCTTACGATCAAACCGATAGGAGGACAAAAATTAATAAGATTCTATAATATATTAATTTTATAATAATTTTTGTTGAGACACTCTTAATGAGAGTAACTAATAAGGATGTTCTTAGATATTCATAAACCTCCTTAATAAGAACTGGTTCTTCTAATTATTCCTATTTTTTATTTGATTTGAATCACATTTATGCTGAGAACTCTTAATAAAAGCTCCCTTTGGAAATGCTCTTAAAGCATCTCCAACACTAAATCCCTTGAGAGAGTTCATAACAATATTCAGGAGTAACAAATCCAACACCAATCAGGGAACAAAACCAATATATAATTAGTTCTGAGAATGTTGTCGTCTGCTTGTACTTGTCATCTCAACTTGCCATCCTCAAGTTGCCATCTTCTTGTACTTATTATCTCCTGCAAAATGACAGAAGAAAAACAATTACACAAACACAAAACTGATTCAAGACATGCACTAATACATGACACAAACTGATTCATGACCAAAACTGATTCAAGACATGCGTTCATTCATAACACAAACACAAAACTGATTAAACAAAGACACAAAAGTGATTTAGGTCACAAACTGATTCAAGACATGTATTGATTCATGACACAAAACTGAAACAAAACAAGATCAAGATCAAACAAAAGTTATACATAGTCAAATACTCCATTCAAGGCAGCCATGTGAAAAGCAGTGATTCCCCCATCAGCCACCATCCATACCGCAAATCAAAACTGTAAAATGAACAAAGGAGGAAGAGAAATGTGAAAAAGGTAATACCTTTCGCGGAAGTAAACCACAGATGATCCCGTATACATTGAAAAGATGACGGCACCGATGATCCTAACCGGAGCTGAATCGGCGGAGAGAGAGAATATCGGCTAGATTCTTACCTTCACGAAGAGATTGAAGATACCTTATCAAATTAGATACGTTACGTCATCCGAAAAACCGCACCTTAAGCTGCCTAGTTAACGATTGATCTTTAGCTTCTTAATTGTTTTTGATTTATATTAAATCAGATTAAACAGATGAACTCCACTAATATCTCTCTTTTGGAGATGCTCTTAGGGGCCTTAGTGTTGTTGTTACTGGGCTGACATTAGCAGCCATAAGGCCCATTAAGCCATATCTCTTGAAACTGGTTATGCTCAAAGACAATTGATCAAAGCTTTTCTGACTAATACTTGATAAAACTGAAACGATTACAACTTGCTTCTTTATATAAAGAAGACTTAACAACTATGGAAGCAAATAACAAGAAGCAACTAACTCCTACAAACTAGCGATGCCACTAGACTCGTTCACACGATTGGCAATTATCCAAAACAGAACAAAACCACTATCTCCGACAACTATGGGAACTTATTCTTCTAGCTTTGACCACTTCCCAACATACCTTCCCCCAAACTGAATACGGCTACGGTATTGCAGTTTGATCCTTGTTCTTCTGCAATTCCTGAACTCCAAGCATTCTCCTCAGCTTAACAAACGTCTCCAACTTCAATGGCTTTGTCATGATGTCTGCGACCTGTTCTTGAGTTCTGCAATGAACTAAGTTCACCTCTTCTTCTTTCACCAGCTCACGCAAGAAATGAAAACGCACCTTGATATGCTTAGTTCTCCCATGTAAAACTGGATTCTTTGACAACTTAATCGAAGAACTGTTATCACATAGAATGGTAACACATTCTTCTTCAGCTTGATTCAAATTGCTAAGAATCCTCTTCATCCAAAGACATTGGGTTGCACAGAAAGACGCAGCAACATATTCAGCTTCTGTTGTAGAGAGCGTCACAATCGGCTGTTTCTTTGAACTCCAAGCTACAGCTGCGTTGCTCATAAGAAATGCATATCCAGAAGTGCTTCTCCCACTGTCTATATCACCAGCAAAGTCACTGTCTGTATATGCTGTCAACGTCCCTTCCCCAGCGTTTGTGTAGAGTAACCCCATTTTCATAGTTCCTTTGATGTATCTCAACACTCTTTTGACAGCCACAAGATGAGCAGCTTTAGGTTGCATCATGAATCTGCTCAAAAAACAAACAACAAACATGATATCGGGCCTTGTAGCTGTTAGATACATCAAGCTACCGATCAGCTGCTTGTAAAGTGATGGATCTGCATCATCTACTTCCATGTCCTTTGACAATTTTGTACCTGGAACTATCGGATTGTTTACAGGATTACAATCCTCCATTCCATACCTTGACAATACTTCAGCTGCATATTTCTTTTGACATAGAAATATTCCTCTTTCACTTTGATCAACTTCCACACCCAGAAAATAGCACATCTTCCCCAAATCTGTCATTTCAAACTCTCTCATCATCGAAGCTTTAAATTCTTCACACATCTGCAGATCGTTTCCAGTAAAAATTAGGTCGTCCACATACAGGCTTATGATGAGAACTCTTCCTCCCGACTCATTCTTTATGAACAACGTGTGTTCAAGCTCACACTTGTTAAACCCCTCCTTTGTAAAATACTCTTCAATCATGCTGTACCAAGCCCTTGGAGCTTGTTTAAGGCCATAGAGTGCTTTGTGCAGCTTATACACCTTATCCTCTTCACCTATCTTCTCATATCCTTCTGCTTGCGCCACAAACACTGTTTCTTTTAACACTCCATGAAGAAAGGCGCTTTTGAAGTCGAGCTGATACACCGTCCACTTCTTCTTAGCAGCTTCTGTTAACAACATTCTGATGGTATCCCAACGTGCTACCGGTGCAAAAACTTCATCATAGTCTACTCCATGTTTTTGTGAGTATCCTTTTGCAACAAGTCTGGCTTTAAACTTATCAACCTCTTCTTTTTCATTCACCTTGGTCTTGTATACCCACTTAACCCCAATCTTCTTTGATCCTACCGGTAAGTCAACGAGCTCCCATGTATCGTTTTTCTTAATGGACTCAAGCTCAGCATCCATTGCTTCTTTCCATTTATTTTCTTCGGCGGCCTCCTCGTAGGTGTAAGGATCTTCATGAGAAACATACAAGGCTACATAATGCACTTCTTCTTCGTCGTCAGTTGACGTTTCATCTTGTACGTAGTCTTGTAGATACCTTGGTGGAGCTCTGCTTCGTTGTTGAGGCAGTGGATCAGTTGGGGCGTTTGCAGGTGGCTCAGCATTTGGATCTCCAATAGTTACCTCAGCATCAATATTATCTGTTACTGCTTGAGTAGTGACATTCTCAGGAATCTCCACATTTTTTTTTGCATCCTCAATCACCAACTCATCAATCTGTTCTTCATCTTCTTTCTTCTCCCAGCTCCATCTTTGTTTCTCATCAAAAATCACATCCCTGCTAACAATGACTTTATTTGTCACAGGATCAAACATTTTGTAAGCTTTGGAACCTTCACTTACACCAAGGAATATGCACTTTTGACTTTTATCATCCAGCTTCACTCGTTTCGGACTCGGAACATGAGCATACCCAACACAACCAAATACTTTAAAGTGATCAACGTTCGGTTTGATTCCGGTCCAGCACTCTTGTGGAGTCTTGTCTTTCACTGCTGAGGTAGGACACCTATTCAAGACGTGAATAGTCCTAACTGCAGCTTCTCCCCAAAAACTTTTTGGCATCTCCTTTTTGATCAACATACACCTCACCATCTCCATGATCGTTCTGTTCTTTCGTTCAGCTACTCCATTTTGTTGTGGCGTGAATGCAGCAGTGATTTGTCGCTTGATTCCATTAGCCGCACATAACTCATTAAATTCCTTTGAGGTGAATTCACCACCACGATCGCTTCTTAAACATCCTATTTTCATTCTCGCTTCATTCTCAACCATCACTTTGAAACTTTGGAAGAATGTGAAAGCTTCACTCTTCACAGACAAGAGATAAATCCACGTTTTTCTACTGAAGTCATCAATAAAGCTCAGAATGTACCCCTTTTCTCCAATAGTGTTGGGCTGGATAGGTCCGCATAGGTCTGTGTGTATGAGCTGGAGTTTTTCTGTTGCACGCCAGTTAGCTTGCTTTGGAAACGTGTCTCTGTGTTGTTTGCCTTTTACGCATACTCCACAAACAACATCAGATTTCTCAATTTGAGGAAGCCCTACCACCAACTGTTTCTTCCACAGGCTCTCAAGACTTTGCTGATTCAGATGGCCAAACATTTTGTGCCACAGAGCTGGTTCTTCTTGTGAAACTTGCAAACACGTCGTTTCTGATGCGTCGGCTAGCAAAACAAACATCCTATTTGCTGTCATAGATGTGTTTATGATTAGCCCTTGTGTTTCATGATACACCTTGCAGCTTCCTTCTTTAATGAGAATCGACAGCTTCCTTTCTTGTAGTTGACCAAGACTTAAAAGATTTGTTGTTAGCTCAGGAACATAGTAAACATCTGGAATGATGTGACTTCTTCCCTTTAGAATCACTTTTACGCTTCCATGACCTTGTACTCTCAACTTCGAGTCATCTCCCAATCTCACGGTATGCATCAGCTTCTCATCCAAATTTGTGAACCAACTTCGATCTCCAGTCATATGATTTGAACAACCAGAGTCCAAAAACCACACATGATCTCTCTTTGCTTTATTCTCCTCAACAAACGCCATAAGCAGTAGCTCCTCTTTCTCATTCAACTCAGCATAATGTGCATTACTGTCCCAAGTAGGGCATTCAGATTGATAATGCCCTAGATTGTGGCACTTAAAACACTCGACGGTGGCTCGGTTGCTGCTTCTACCACGCCCTCTTCCTCGGTAATAGCCTCTTCCTCGTCCTCTCCCCTCGGATGAAACTTTGAGCACTTGTTCCTCTTCTGCTGGTCCTCCTCTCATCCGCTGTTCATGGACCAAAAGGCTGCTTTGGAGCTCATCCAAGGTGAGTTTATCCAAGTTGTTGGATTCTTCAATTGAACACACCACATAATTGAATCGCATCGTCAGCGATCTTAAAATCTTCTCCGAGATGGTGTTCTCTTGAAGAACATCTCCACACGTTCTCATCTTTTTCGCAATTGCAAGTGTCCTTGCAAAAAAACTGTTCACAGTTTCTCCCTCCTTCATCTGAAGAGCCTCGTACTCCTTGCGTAGTGCTTGAAGTTGTGCTCTCTTCACCTTGGTAGATCCTTCAAACTTCTGCTTCATACTATCCCAAATTTGTTTGCTTGTATCAGTATTTAGAATCGTATCAAGAATATCTCTATCGATGGATTGATAGAGAAAATTCTTGAGTTTCAGATCCTTCAGCTTCTGTTCGTTAACCACCTTCTGTTGTTCTTCTGTAAGAACACCTCCTTCGATCGTACGTATCCCCTCCTCTATGAGATCCCAATACTCTTTAGAACGGATGAAATTCTCCATCAAACGTGCCCAATGATCGTAATGACCATCGAACCTTGGAATAGCTGGAACCACGAACCCTTTCGCACTGCTGCTATCTCCCATTGAATTTCTCGCTCTTCTCACTCAACTCTCAACTCTCTTTAGGCCTCTTTGTGATGAAGCTCTGATACCAATTCTTGAAACTGGTTATGCTCAAAGACAATTGATCAAAGCTTTTCTGATTAATACTTGATAAAACTGAAACGATTACAACTTGCTTCTTTATATAAAGAAGACTTAACAACTATGAAAGCAAATAACAAGAAGCAACTAACTCCTACAAACTAGCGATGCCACTAGACTCGTTCACACGATTGGCAATTATCCAAAACAGAACAAAACCACTATCTCCGACAACTATGGGAACTTATTCTTCTAGCTTTGACCACTTCCCAACAATATCTGGATTTTAACATGAGCTTTCGTGATTTGTTGCCGAAGAATCAAAAAGTTTCCTCGAGAAGCCGCCATGGAAATGCAGAGTGATGGAAAAAATTTGATGTTATTCGAACATGCTCTACAAGTAGCAGAAGTAAGGCCATTTAAAAGTTGGGAGATGCGCTTTGGAGGAGGAGATTTGTTGTCATGTCATGTCGCCTCGCCTGAGAAATTAGCAACTTAGAATAGGTAAAATATCGATTTCTTTGCAAAAAGAAATGTGTTATACATTTTACTCTTGAGTTGTATTGAGCGTTTTGATAGACAATGGTACACATGTCAATATGGAATTGTTTGTGATGATGTTTTTGAATTCTAGATGGAGATGAAGACAGTGATGAATCTAGGTTTTGATAAAGTTTTGAACTTGGTTTAGATGGACATGAAGACATTGATGAACTAGGTTTTAGATGGAGACAGTGATGAATTAGACTTTTGGAATGACAAAACGTTTATCCCTTGGACTAGAATAAAAGTTTATCCCTTGGGTTGAAAAAGATTAAACTTTAGAAAATTGTATTTTTTTTTTAATCTTAATCTCCTGATTCTAATAGGTTCGTAATCAGTGGAATTAACTCTTGTTAACACAAAGAAGCTGATGTTAATTAGGCAAGCAGAAAGCTTTATAAAATTGATTACAAAATCATGAAGTCAGTGGTCTTTGACGACTTTGTTGAATTGTTGGGGACACATGTTTGTTAACTTTGTTTTTCTCCTATGGAAACTTCTTTGTTGGTTCTCTTACACGTTCGACTATTATAGTGAAAGTGGGAAGCATTTATGTTTTTCCTCTGTAAAAAATTTATTGATAATTTTTTCTCTGTACAAAAATACAATTTTCCCTTAATATATAGGACCATTGTGATACCTTCTTTCTTCAAAACTCACTTTTACTTTATTTCTCATGGCTGCTTCTTCATCTTCTTCACAGTTTGACTTCAAGAGATACCATGTCTTTTCGAGTTTCCACGGCCCAGACGTCCGCAGTGGATTTCTCAGTCATTTACACAGTCACTTCGAAAGTAAAGGGATCACTACGTTCAAAGATCAAGAGATCGAGAGAGGCTATACGATTGAACCTGAGCTCGTGCAAGCGATTAGAGATTCTAGAGTCTCCATTGTGGTGCTCTCAGAGAAGTACGCTTCTTCTGGTTGGTGCTTAGATGAGTTGGTGGAAATCTTGAAGTGCAAAGAAGCTTCAGGGCAGGCTGTGATGACTGTTTTTTACAAAGTTGATCCGTCCGATGTACGGAAACAGTTGGGGAATTTTGGAAGTGCTTTCAAGAAAACATGTGAAGGGAAATCCGAGGAAGTGACGAAGAGATGGAGCAAAGCTTTGACCGATGTAGCAACCATAGCTGGAGAACACTCTTTAAACTGGTTGGTTGTTTCTTTTGGCTCAATGAGTTAGAATTTATTTTTCTTAAGAGATGCTTCTACAGTTGAGGTTCCATCATTTGATAAGACTGGTCTAACATGATTAAATTTGCTTTTGTTAGGGCTAATGAAGCAGAGATGATCCAAAAGATTGCTACAGATGTTTCAAACAAACTGAATCTTACTACACCTCTAAGGGATTTTGAGGGAATGGTGGGACTTGAAGCTCATCTGACAAAATTGGGCTCTCTGTTAAGCCTCGAGTGGGATGATGTGAAGATGATTGGCATTTGGGGTCCTTCCGGAATTGGTAAGACTACCATTGCTAGAGCTTTATTTAATCAACTCTCTACTAGTTTTCGGCGTACCTGTTTTATGGGGAACATTGATGTTAATGACTATGATTCGAAGTTGTGTTTGCAAAGCAAGCTTCTGTCAAAAATTTTGAACCAAAAGGATATGAAGATACATCATTTAGGCGCAATAAAAGAATGGCTACATAACCAGAGAGTGCTTATAGTTCTTGATGATGTGGATGATCTAGAGCAGCTAGAGGTATTAGCTAAAGAAAGTTCTTGGTTCGGTCCTGGAAGTCGAATTATTATTACCTTAAAGGATAAAAAGATTTTGAAGGCACATGGGATCAACGATATCTACCATGTGGATTTTCCATCCGAAAAAGAAGCTCTTGAGATCTTATGTCTATCTGCTTTCAAACAAAATTCTCCCCAAGATGGTTTTGAAAAGCTTGCAAAAAAAGCAGTAGAGCTTTGCGGTAATCTTCCATTGGGCCTTCGAGTTGTTGGTTCTTCTTTCTATGGGGAGAGTGAGGATGAGTGGAGGAGTCAATTATATGGGATTGAACCTAATTTTGATAGAAAAATTGAGAATGTCTTGAGAGTGGGATATGACAAATTGTCGGAGCGACATCAATCTTTGTTTCTTCATATTGCATGCTTTTTCAACCATAAAAGTGTTGATTATGTGACAACCATGCTAGCTGACAGTACTTTGGATGTCGAGAATGGGTTGAAGACCTTAGCTGCTAAATCTCTTGTGTCTACTAATGGTTGGATAACGATGCACTGTCTACTTCAACAATTGGGTAGACAAGTTGTTATTCAACAGGGCGAGCCGGGGAAACGTCAGTTTTTAGTAGAGGCCAAAGAGATTCGTGATGTGTTGGCAGATGAAACAGTAAGTTCTTACTAATATGTATATATTCCATAGATATTACCTAATTTTGTTTGTGATAACAGTTTCATCAGTCTTCTTTTGCAATATTTGGTAGGGTACTGAATCCATCATAGGTATATCATTTGATATTTCCAAGATCGAGGCGTTATCTATAAGCAAGCGAGCCTTCAATAGAATGCGTAACCTCAAATTCTTAAATTTCTATAATGGAAATGTTAGCTTGTTAGAGGACATGGAATATCTACCTCGTCTAAGGTTGCTTCATTGGGGTTCATACCCGAGGACAAGTCTTCCTTTGACATTTCAGCCAGAATGTCTCGTCGAAATCTATATGGGATCCAGCAAGTTGGAGAAGCTATGGGAAGGAATCCAGGTTGGTATTTGATACTTGTGCTTGTGAATACGTTTGCTTACTAATGATTTAACGCTAAAGTATAATATTCCTTATTTTGTGTGTGTTTGACATGCAGCCCCTTACAAATCTAAAGAAAATAAATTTGGGATATTCTTCCAATTTGAAAGAAATCCCAAATCTTTCGAAAGCCACTAACCTCAAGACGTTGACACTTACCAGTTGTGAGAGTTTGGTGGAGATTCCATCCTCTATTTCTTATCTACAGAAACTGGAATTGCTGGATGTGTCATGTTGCATTAAGCTACAAATTATTCCCACCAACATCAACTTAGCATCTCTTGAGGAGGTCAGAATGAATAAGTGCTCACGACTGAGAAGTTTTCCAGATATTTCGAGTAACATCAAGCGTCTCTATGTAGCAGGCACAATGATTAAAGATATTCCTGCGTCCATTTTTGGAAACTGGTCTCGTCTTGATTTGCTTCAGATAGGGAGCAGAAGCCTCGAGAGAATAATACATGTCCCAGAAAGTGTAACACAGTTAGACCTGCGCAACAGTGACATAAAGATGATTCCAGATTGCATCATAGGTCTCCCGCATCTAGTATCTCTTCTCGTTGAAAACTGCACAAAACTGGTGTCAATTCAGGGTCATTCCCCTTCCCTGGTGACCCTATTTGCAGACCACTGTACATCGCTCAAGAGCGTATGCTGCTCTTTCCACGGACCAATCTCGAAATTGATGTTCTACAACTGTCTGAAACTGGATAAAGAATCCAAAAGAGGAATCTTACAACAATGGGGTAACAAGTCTATATTCTTGCCAGGTAAAGAAATCCCTGCAGAGTTCACTCACCAAACTATAGGGCACTCGATAACCATCTCTCTGGCTCCAGTTTGTGAGGAAGTTTTTTCTGCGTTTGGAAGATTTAAGGCTTGCCTTCTGCTTTCGCCAGTCAAGAATTTTGCATTTAATAAGATACGTTGTTTTCTAAGAAGCAAAGGAGGTGTCATAATTAACTCTGCTACAGAGTCCATATATCCATTTGTGTCTGGTGGATCTCTATCAGAACATCTGTTTATGTTTTGTGGAGACATATTTCCGGATGAAGACAGTTGCCTTTTGGATGTGACTCCGAACGAGATTCTATTTGATTTCAGCTCCAGTGATGTCGAGGTTATGGAATGTGGTGTAAAGATCTTTTTGACTAGTGGCATCGAAGTGGGCTACTCTGAAACTGGAGGCAACAGAAACCACCACATAGATGGAGAAGCAGAAGCTTTAAAGGTCTCTCAAGTTGAATACATCAAAGACAGTGAACATACAGGTCGCTGGAGTTGGCTTAGGAAGCTTCCTCTGTGGAAGAAGAAGATGGAGAATAATATGGCAGAGCTTAGTTTGAGACCAGTCTCAGGATCCATTAAAAATGAAAACATCACAGATCTTTGGCGTTTGCTATGTATTGGTTCCCTTGTGGTCTCTGTTATTTTTCTCTTTTTTGGGAAACCCCTTGTGGTTTCTGTTTTGTTGCTTTTTTATTGCTTGTTTCTTCAAATGCAATGACCTGCATCAGCATCACACATCTTGTTGTGTTTTAATAAAAAGTTTGTGGTGTTTTTAATAAAAGTTTGGGTCAGTGTGTGAAAAAAAAAAAAAAGTGTGGTTTTCGTATATATTTTTGTGATATTAATTGGGCCGACTTAAGCAGGAAACCCATCAGGCCCATTAAGCTATCTCTACTCTCTAGCTTTCATTTCATCGGTCGATAACTCGATATGACTAAACCGCCTTATATTTTTTTGTTTTATTTTTTGCAGAAAATTTACTTTTGGTAATCGCCTTATGATTTTGCCCGTCTTCCTTAAAATTTCGTTGTGAGGGAAGAAGAATTAAAAAGTTTTCTCGCGAAGCTTGAGAAGCCATGGATATGCAGCGTGAACTCGAGAGATTGATGTTCTTTGAACATGCTCGCGTGAAAGCAGAAGCAACCTACGTCAAAAACCCTTTGGATACCGATGTTAGTCTTTTTTTTTTCTCTCTTTCTGGGTTCTTGCATGTGTTTTGGAGTATTTATGTGAAAATCGATGATGAATTTGTGATTTGATGGCGTAATTCGAATTGGGTTTCTTGGAATTTTTTTGTAGAATCTGACGAAATGGGGAGGAGCTTTACTGGAAATATCACAGTTCCAAAATATGCCAGAGTCAAAGCAGCTGATGCTAGGTGCCTTTTGTATTTCTTCTTTTCTTTGTAGTTTGCATTCAAATTCAGATTAGCTTTGATGATAGTCTGTTTGATTGAATCTGCCTGGAGATGTTCTTAAGGACTTTGAGTAGTCTTTATGTATGTTAAGATGTACATTTTGTTATTGGAATCCGTAATTAATATTTAGAAGATGAAATTTTTCGTAGAGGCCATTTCGAAGCTGGGAGAAGCGTTGGTAATTGATCCAAAGAAGCACGATACGCTTTGGTATATAGGTAATGCTCACACTTCATATGGGTTGTTGACTCCTGATCAAACCGAGGCTATACATCACTTTGAGAAAGCTACACACTTCTTTCAAAAAGCTCTGGAGGAGGTAATTAGTCTCTTTCTTTCCTGATCCCCACCTAATCAGTGTGATTGTTATATGTTTTTGTGTGTGGTGTTTTGTAATTTGAGATGTATATATGCAGCAACCAGAGAACGTAGCCTATCAGAGATCACTGGAATTGGCTTCCAAGGTACATCTTTATTGTTAAAGTCCTGTTTTATCTTTTGGTCCTGGTTCAAGGAATTGAGATATACATGCTGTTGAGGCTTCTCTAGTTGTCTTAGGAATAGGAACTGCAAGGTGCTTTGGATCAGTGGATACATAGTGACTCTTAGAAAGAGAATAATGTATTTGAATCATATCTTTATGCTAGAAATTAAGTTTTTTTTTAGTGTTGAAAAACACATTGTACGGTGAAGCAATGGTTATGAATCTTTGGTTTTTGTTCCTTAGACCAATTCACCTTGTCTCTTTGTGAAACTGCAGGCTCCAGAACTACATACAGAGGTTCACAAACATGGTTTAGGCCAACAACCATTAGGCGTTGTCGCTGGACCTTCATCTACCAGTGCAAAGGTTGTTTCTTTTATTCAAAACTACTGATTGGTTTGATGAAAATTTAACATGTTTGTTCTTTCTCACAGACGATGAAGCAAAAAAAGAACAATGATCTCACGTATGATGTGCTCGGATGGGTCATCTTAGCCGCTGGTGTTGTTGCGTGGATCAGTTTTGCCAAATCTTAGATGCCGGTGCCAAGGCAGTAACAGTCACCAAGAGCGTCTAAAGATCAAGACTTTTATTCATTTTCGAGCTAAAGAGTTTCTCATTATTACAACTCCTAGAACGGATTTGAAGTTATTAGATCAGAGACACAGGAAATGTATAAGAACCTCAAATTGTCCTTTGGAAATTAACATACAAATCAGTGAAACCATAGTCACCAAACTCAGATTAGTACTCTTCTTGAACTCATATTATCCTTTTTCAGTCACCATTTCCGTAAACTTTGTAATGGAAAAAGGTAAACCTGGTTTATCGTTTGGTCTTGATAAGAAATCGAGATCTACATTTCTACATGTTTACAGGGGCACCTCAAGTTGCCCTACCAGTAGTAGGAGAATGGTGCATCTGAATCAAGTTTCTTTTGCAATAAATGAGTTTTTAGTCTAGAAAAAAACACTTGATACAGTGAAGCAATGGTTATGAACTTTAGCTCTTGTTCTTTTTAGACTAATTCTTCTTTTTGTGCTAAAGTGCAGGCTCTAGTACTACATACAGATGTGCACAAACATGGTTTACGTCCAGAACTATCAACTACCTCAAAGACTATGAAGAAAAAGAAATCACTGATTCAAGTACTATTATCAACCTCCCAACAAATGAAACTGGTATAAGGCAGTAACACTCGCCAAAAGAGAGTCTAAAATCAGAACTTTATATTCATTTTCAAACTAAAAAGTTTCTCACTATGATGGCATAAGAGAATCAGAGAATGCCTATGAACTAATATGAGTATTTCTCTCGACATTACTGTTGAATCAAATTGTCTTTTAGAAAAATCAGTGAAGACCATAGTCACCTAACTCAGAAGAGTAGTCTCCATGAACACCTTCTACTACTTCTTCTCCATCGTTAGGCACTGAGATAGACTCTCCCAAACCAGCCTGTTTCTCTTTCGGTTCAATCATCTGATTAAAGCCATGAACAGCAATCCAATCGTTGATAAACATATCTGGATAGATGAGTGGGACTTCATTGAGAAGAAGTATATCACCAGACCAAGAAACCTCAATTTCGTACCCTTTGAGAACAGTTTGCAGAATCGATCCTTCCCAAGCCAGTTTCTGAAGATCTTTCCAAGAGACAAGTCTATTGATCACATGCCCTCTGAATATAGTAGCGTAATCGGAGAATTTGGTGGTTGGATTTGGAATCGCTTCGTCCATTGGAGCAAAGACTGTGATCTTCGTGTCGTTCCCTGAAGTTTCTAATTGCAGAGCGAGAAACGTGGCCATGATCACGAAGCCTCTCGACATTAACAATCTTGAAGCAGATTCAAAGATGTTGAAGCAATTCACCTCTGGTTTAGATCCATTTGGGAGATTTCGAGTGGAATCCGAAGCGAATTTAGGACTCGGAGCAGTACGAGTCGCTGAACTTGGGATTGGGATCGAACCAGTAGATGAAGTAGGGTTTGGGATTGAAGAAGACGATGATGAATCGTCGGAGATCTTCGTCGATGATGTGAAAAAATCGTCGGATCCGTAAATCACGATGTAGCCGTCGTCAAAAACAGGGGAATCTTGGACCACGACGTCGTTGATCGAAAATTTACCACCACCGAATCGTGAAGAATTGGTGACGAAGAGAGATGAATTGGATCCGAGAGTAGGGATTTTGGCGCCGTTCGGGAGGTTTCTTAGGGATTCACCGGGGAATCTCGTCGGAGAGAGCTGGAACTTGATATCCAAAAGCGAAGGTTGACCACCGAATCTGGAGCAAGCTTGATCAGAAGGTGCGAATATGGTGAGTTCTTGCCAATCTTCGAGGTTAAGATCTTGGTTCGCGAGCTTTAGAGTGAGTCCCATGGAGAAGTAGCCGGAATCGGAGAGGACTTCCACGGCGGATGAAAAAGATGCCACAGAAGGTGCGACGAGATCGAGAACGAAAAATAGGAGGAAGAAGGTAGTTAGAAGCTTCGACGCCATTGATGCGTTCTTCGAGCTCTTTCGTTGAAAGAAATGTTTTCTTTTGAGAAAAGCCGTTGCAGGGGAAGTTACCGCTTTATTATCTCCATCCTAATCAAAGAGCGGGAAAAGAGTTAGTGGGCTTTTATTCTTAGGCCCATTGAGCAAACAGGCCTATAATTCTGATTAAGAAATTATTTCGTAGATCAATGAACAACAAGTTGATATGGCCGAGTTGGTCTAAGGCGCCAGATTAAGGTTCTGGTCCGAAAGGGCGTGGGTTCAAATCCCACTGTCAACATTGTTTTTTTTTCTTTCTAATTTTGTTACGTTCACTTGCTGACGTGTCGTCGCCTTATCGTCTCGATGTAAACACACATGATTTGATGACGTGGAATTACTAATGGTCACTAATAGAGAGTGAGACGAAACGATAAGGTAAAGGGAAGAACTTCTTCACTCACTCTTCTTCTTCTTCTTCAACCTCTCACAAAAAACCCTAATTTCAGAAACCTCACAGAGTTCTCTGGTTTTGATTTTTAGCTAATTGTATTAGCAATGGCGATGGCAACATCGATGAGTTTGAATCTGATTGGTGCTTTTAAAGGCTTATCTCTCTCTTCAACCTCGACGTTTCTCAGAGGCGATTTGAATTTATGCCCTAAGACCACCTTCACTGTGACTCTCCCTATGCAAAACCTCCAAGCTCCGATTCCATTGACGATTGAGTCTGCGCATAAGAAAGGAGCTGGTAGTACTAAGAACGGTCGTGATTCTCCTGGTCAAAGACTTGGTGTCAAAATCTATGGTGACCAAGTCGCTAAACCTGGCGCCATCATTGTTCGTCAACGTGGCACCAAGGTAACACGAAATTGCTGAATGTTTAGAAGCATTTCTTTCATACACAGTTTCTGATTTTTATCTGTGTATGTAAAAGTTTTAAGCTCAGTTCTGGGAATTTGGTAAAGGTTTTGATGGGTTTGGCTTCTTGAGCTCTCGTTTAATTTTCAATTCTCAAAAGTTTCAGAATTGGGGATTGTGCTTGTGTTTTAGTATGAAACTGTTTTGTTTGAGAAGATTTTTTTGTGATTCATGAGAACACGAAAGTGGTGAATTTAGAACTCTCTGTATAGCTCTTATTTCAGATTTAGTTCTCTTACATTCCTAGGCTGTGCTTTTGTAAATGATGTTCTAAAATCACAAAAAAAAAAAGTTGAAATTAGAAATTAGAAGCTCTTGAGCTCTTATTTGAGATTCCATTCTTTGTTAGTTCTAGGTTATGTATGTGTCTAGGATGAAACTATTTTGTATGAGAAGATTGATTCATGAATGATGCTTTAAACACACAAAATTGTTAAATTTAGATGCTTTGGAGTTCTTGTTTCAGATTCTAATCTCTAGTATTCCTGTTTTTTTGCTTGTGTTTTGGATGAAACTATTTTGGCTCATTACAGATTCAGTTCTCTGATATTTCTAGGTTGTGCTATTGTTTACGATAATGCTTTTTTTGTTTGAGAAGAATGATTCATAGATGATGTCCTAAACTCACTAAATTGTCAAACTTAGAAGCTCTTGAGCTCTTGTTTCAGATTCCATTTTCTGTTAGTTCTAGGTTATGTTTGTGTCTATATTGGTTGAGAAGATTGATTCATGAATGATGGTTTATGCAGTTTCATGCTGGTAAAAACGTTGGGATTGGTAAAGATCATACCATCTTCTCTCTAATCGATGGCTTAGTGAAGTTCGAGAAGTTTGGTCCTGACAGGAAGAAGGTAAATCAGTAATGATCATACCGATTAAGCTTTATAAGCTATCTCAATTCTTCTTGGATTCTAAAGGAAATGAGACTTGGTTTTTCAGATAAGTGTGTACCCAAGAGAAATCGTGCCAGAGAATCCCAACAGCTACAGAGCAAGAAAGAGAGAGAATTTCAGATTGCAAAGGGAGAAGAAGAAGGCAAGACGCGAGAACTACACTTACACAATCCCTACACCTGAACTTGTTCTTGCATCTGCATCAATCGAGGATGCTGAAGCCAATCCGGAGTGTTAGAAAACGAATGTGAAGATTTCCTTTGTCTCTTTTTGTTTAGTTCATGAAAATATTCCTTTTGCTAACTCACAAGAAGCTTGGTTTCAGAGTTTAAAGAGTTGTTGTATGTGTCTAATCTAAAGCCTCTCTTTTGTCAAGTTGAGTCCAAGCCTGCGGATTTTACCCAACTGAATCACGAGTGGTATTCAAATGGGTTATTATTGTTTGTTAGCCAACCGAAAGAGGTGTTAAAAGTTTCAGGTTCTTTTTAGTAATGTCTTCCAAGTAACAATACTGAATCACTGATCAGCCACCAAAACCTTAAAAAAAAAAGAAGAAGAAGATAAGAGTAAGGTAGATAACATTTATTGTTGATTAATAATGATTCAAATAATGAAACCAAAATGACTCACTATCCTATCCTAATTCTAAATCAAAATAGTCACTATCCTAAGGTTTACAACTTACTCTGTAGAGTCTATACCACAGCATCACAACATTGTCTAAGAAGACAATAAATAATTGATGGGTCTTAGACCAAAACTAATGGGTTTTAGTCCAACTAAATAGGATTTTCTTTTCAGTTTTTTTTTTGTTCCTAATGTAATATAGTAGAAGTACATTTAAAAAAATTATGATTGCAAAGGAACTAGTGGAATGAAATTATTGTATTCTTTATTTCATTTTATCACTTTTATTCATCTTTATTCCATTAGATTTCTCTAAAGTTTACCATTAATCCTATGTGTTACCTTTAGCCCGTATCTCCCAGCTTGAAGTCAATTTCCTCAAGAGTTTTCTCACAAATATAGTTTTGATCTGTTTTCTTGCAGGTTCGTAAATTATAATGAAACCTATTTCGATGGTAAAGTTACATACACACACATGAAAGTAAGACGGCTATATATTGAAGGAATAACTCTAGAGAAAAAAGTGGGATATTAAAGAGAAATATTGATTTTATAGGAGTAACTAAGAAGAAGAACAAAGACAATTCCTAAAACAAAGCCTCACTACTAAACCCTCTGGCAAAAAACAGAGGCACATACATGAGTGTGATATAAATGAGCTATGCGTAGACATGGACGTTGAGAACGACGAGAAAGAGGATGAGGAAAAGACCGTAGAGAACAGTGTGCACGAAAATAGAAGCAATCGTGGTCTTCATGTTCATGAAACCCACCGGAGATTCTTTCCCCGGAAACTGTAGTATCAATCCTGGCTGCAGAAACGCAAACAGAGCCGAAGCTATCAACGGTGCTGCCCAATCATGCATATCTTCTTACACCGACAAGAACAAGAACCAGAACAAGAACAAGAACAAGAACACAAGAACAAGATTAAGAATAAGAACAAAAGAAAAGAAAGAGAAATGGAGAAGGAAAGGATGAAGAGAGTGGGAAATTAGGTTTGGATGGGGGGTATAGAAAGCAAAGAGATGGTATGGACAAAAGAGAATGAGAATATGATAAAGTCTACTTCTTTAGACTTAAAGGGGAAGAAAGAGAGATTGTGGAATTTGGCTTTAGCTGAGGTGTCTTAATTTACTCGTAATTGTCTATGTAAAGTGCGCAGTTCAAACGATTATAGCTTTAAGCAGATCAAAATGGTCAAAAAAAATATAGTATAATGGGCGTTTTGCGCGGTTGCAGCGGTTTGAGCGTTTGAAACCAATTCCTGTGGTAACGTTTTCACGGTTGAAGATACGATTCTTACTACATAATTTACATGGAGTACTATCTAAGCTGAAGATCTACATTTAGCAAAAGAAAGAAACAAAGTTGTGAACATTTAGAAAATGTATAAAGACAAGACAAAATCTTTAATAATGATGCAATAACGTCTTGGATGCAATAACGTCTTGCAAGTTAGGATAGAATAGTAGAGGAACTGTTCTAGGTCACATTCAAATCCGATATGATTCACATGAATATAGCGACATCTCACATGTCTTTCCGAACACATCAATAAATGAACACGCCAGTTTTCAAAATATGTTTGGATGAGTTATCAAATATGTTATTTTATGATTTTTGAATGTAATCTTGATTAGTGAAATATATTATTTGACTTGAGTTACAATTAAAGTGAAGACTAAATTGGATTAAAATGTAACGTGGTCCAAGCACTTGCTAAGCGATCAATATACATATTCCGTAAAAAAGAGAACAATATTTGTCTCCTTTTTCGATTTGACATAAATATTCTTTTTAATTTGGTAATTATCAAATATCTTTTTGGTGTATTTCAATTTACAATAATTCTTAGCCTACGAAGAAACATGTGAAATTATATACGGATATACCTAATCATCCTCTTGAACGTATATTTTAAACATTTTTAAAAATAAAAAGGTGATCTTATTATATGCAAAAGTAATTAATTAAAGAAACTTTTCAAAAAATTAGTAAGTGTTGTTGTTTAGTGCATGAGATTAGAGTACGCGTTTACACTGGCATATATGTTTCCCTAGTGGCAGTCTAATCTTTGATTAAATTTCTATAAAATTTTGCTGTCAAAATTATTTTAAATTGTTAATTTTTTTTAAAGCAATCTTTTTAATATTTGAAAATATTAAAAACCTTGCAAATCAATTTAGTGTTAAGAGTTTGTAATATTTTTGAAAAAAATGAATAAAAATTTTATCATATTTTTGGAAGAATAAAGTATTAGTGATATTTTTGAGAAAAAAAAAACATAAGAATGTGGTGTTGTGAAAAATATGAAATTTTATTCCTCAAGACGATATGATCTTTTTGTAAGTAATATTTTAAAATTTAAAATAAAAATAAAAGAATATACACGTCATCAGCTTGTCTTCGTCGTTTCAACTCTGTCTTTTTGACTCTGTTTCCGTTTTTTCTCTCTCTCTCTCACCACCGCTTTATCGAAAAGAAAGAAAAACAAAGGCATCTCTGCTTTTGCACGGCAATGGCGGATTGGGCTCCAGTTGTAGTCGGAGTAATACTATTCGTGCTCCTTTCTCCAGGTCTCGTCTTCTCGTTGCCCGGACATCACCATACCCTCCAATTCGGCGGCATGAAAACCAACGGTAAAGCCATCGCCGTTCACTCACTCATCTTCTTCGCTGCTTACACGATCTTGATCCTCGCTGTCAATCTCCACATCACTACCGGCTAAAATCTATGGGCTTTTTCTTTCTAATTGGGTATTTCCGGCAGACAATAAAGGTAAACCCTTTTTGCTGAATCTGGAGGAATCTTCTGAGATCTGGAACTCTGTTTTAAGGGGTTTTGTATACTTTATACTCTGTTCTGTAGAACTCAAATGTATTAATCCATTAAGCTTGTATTGCTGTTATTAACTTATTAAGGAAAAATTTGATCTTTGTTTCGATCTTTTCTTGAGCTATTCAGAGTTGATAAATTGAAATTGTGGAATACAAAATTGCAGATTTTTATTTGTCTATGCAATACTTACTTTTAAACCATATTAGCAAAGAATGAGAGATTAGCGAAATAAAGGAAATTTGTAGCAAAGTAAGATGCTTTATATTGCATTCTTACATTTTGAAGCCATGAGAGATCAGAGAGATATTGTTGTAGAGAGTTTTTAGAAATTGAATTGTGGAGAACAAAATCACGGATTACTTATTTGTATACAACCTTTTTTAACCACCCCTGTTTGAGACCCTATGAGCCAAGAATCAGAGATTAGCAACAAAAAGAAAAGGAAAAAAAAATGGATAAAGGCGAAGTTTTGAAACCAAAGAAGCTGCCTTTTGTTACACTATAAGATCAGAAATGGATGTGAATTTGTATGGCAATGACCAAGATAGTGAGTATACAGAAGTATATAATGGCGTGGACCAAAATCGAAATCCCGCTTGTGCTCATGTTCCCAAACTCCATCACTCTTGTCCTTGCCGGTAACTGAAAGAGCAATCCTGGTGAGAGTAGGATGAACAGAGCCACTGCTACAATCACAGGTCCCCAGTCTGCACTCATATCTCAAGAAAATCTGTGATCTGAAATGTGTTTTTGTGTATTTCAAGTTCTTGTTTTCTTTTTGGTGCAGGTGAAAATGGAAGATAAAACTGAGAATGGAGGAGCTTGTTAGTGTTTTATGTAGAGTTATGGGTTTCTTGGTGACTAAGGAGAGGGATTGGTTTAGATGCTAAGCTTTGTGAAGACTACAAAAGAAAGGTATTGTATTCTTGAAGTGGGATTTGCTTTTTTTGGTCTGTAAACTTTCTTTATTCTTAATTCTTCAATCAATTGCTTCTTTAAGTTTCTGTTTTCTATTTTCTACAACTGCTTTACAGATCGTTATTGGTATGTGTTTTTTTGCTTTTGGATTTTGCTTTTGTTAAAGAATTGCTTAAAAGTAGATGACTGTAAAGATGATATTACCAGTTGCTGTTTCTTTCTAAAGGTCTAGTTTGATAGTTTCCTTCATAGTATGGATTTAGCAATTTGGTCACTCTCGCAGAAACTGTTGGACCAGTGAACAGTTGGTATCCTATTTTCTACTGATATAAACCAAGTAACCAGGACTGACTTAGGTAGATTGGTAATAAAGATTGGTTGTTGGTGTTAATTTATATATTGACTCTGTAGTAGCTTTTTCCAAAGGTTAAATCTCTTTTCCGTGTTTCGGGCTTTGCACTTGTTTGTGGTGGAAATCAAGGACCAAAGGCCTGTATAGTTCATATGCGATGTGCTCATGTTAGGTAGTAGTAGTAGTAGTTTCATGACTTTGATGCGCTGCATCTGTGTTGATCTTGATCCACTTCTCTGTTTACTTGGTCTGCATGATTCAAGGTTACCGCAACTATATCGATCTAACTTATCTTCTTTTTCTTCAGCTATGGAAATGTTTGAAAGTTTCTGAAATCATTAGTCTTGGACATAGACTCAAGAGTACTTGTTCTCAACTGAAGACCCCACTGGACAGTTTGGTTTTAGAGGTTTGTTTCGATTCGGTTAATCTCACCGTCTTTGTCTCCTACCCCGCTTAATCTGTTCTCTGATTCTTCAACCCTAGAGCCTCTCTTCCACCACCACCACAATCGAAGCCATGGTTTTTTGATAGAAACTCGAATCATACTCACAGCTATCCACTTCACCGTTCCAAAAAGATTCCAGGGTGACATCATGAGTGGTAGTAAGAGAAGCTTTTGCCTTTCTCGTTGTGTATATCTCCTTAGGCGTGGTTATCTATTGGCCGAGTCGTGATCATTGAGGTTATGGATCAGGACCCTTTTGTAAGTGCTATGGCTACAAGTAGAAGAGTTGAAATACGTGAATAATTGTAGCAAATGCTATATCATTCATCAAACACAGCTCTAAGTTTTCAATCTCCTGAAAAATATTATCTCAAATATTAAATCACATCAGAATCCAAGAGACCTGAATCTGAAAATTCATTTTTAGAGTGTTTCAACTAAATACAAACCAATCTAGCTTATTTTAATTACAACCAAAACATAATTTAGTTGAAGTTACTCTATTTTTCAGACTTGTCGAGATATGATTTGTAATCAAACGAAGATATGCTTTTTTTTTTTTAATTTTTATTTTGTTAAAAGGCTTAACGAAGATAGCCTCATCATCTAACGTCTCTTGATGTCTCAAATACATGTTCCAACTCGGTAGCGAAGAAGATTCAATTACGGTGACCAAGATAATATTTTCCAGACCTAATAAATTAGTAAAGATTTAAGGACTTTTTACTTTTCAGCACACACTTATCTCAAGTGAAGTCTATATACTTGCTACATATTTATTTCGCTCTAAAGTGACTTAAGAAGATGCATTTCAAGTTCTATACGTTACTACGTATTTTATTGTTTCAGTCAAAAATGTGACACTTACACAAATCACTTGCCTACAAGTGGTTTTGTGCATATCATCAAATCCGCAACAATTTGGGATAACTTTTGTTTGGATTGTTTTCTTCTAGATCATCAGATGGAATATAAGATAACAAAAAAATATTAAAGCCGTCTTTGTCAAATTTCATACTTTTTAATTTTTATCAACAAGACGTCAAATCTAGATTTCGTTTCAAATTCGTGCATTGAAAATTATGCTTTAGAAAAATATAAAATAAAAACCTGACGGACAAGAATAGTACTACTTAACATCAATTTTAGTATAAGAAAAAACTGTTGAAACAAAAACGTTTCGGGAATTATATATAATTCAAAGCTACATTAGATTAGAGAACACAATCATTAAACAATAGAAATGGAAAGCTCTCAAATAGTTTCGAACATCTTCTTTGCTTACACTATAATCATATCAATCAGCTCCATCAACTGCATAGACAACAACAACAAGAAGTTGGTAACAAAGCAATCGGCTTTGTTCGTGTTTGGAGATTCGGTGTTCGATGCTGGAAACAACAACTACATCGATACTCGCTCTAGTGTCCGGTCAAATTACTGGCCCTATGGCCAAACAACTTTCAAATACCCTACTGGAAGAGTCTCCGATGGACGTTTGATTCCTGATTTCATCGGTACCAATACTACTTTTTATGCGTTACTTTATCTATCAGAACATTTTTCACTTATAGGTAACGTGGCAGCTGAATACGCATGGTTACCGTTGATCCCGCCAAATTTACAACCATACAACGGTAACAACCAATTTACCTATGGGGTAAATTTTGCTTCAGGTGGCGCCGGAGCGTTGGTCGAAACCTTTTCCGGATTGGTATATTCATTAGTTATTACCTTTACATTTGTTTTTCTTTCGTCGAATCGGTGGTAACTATTGTTTGTCTTGTCTTTTCAAAATATATTTTCTCCAACTCAAGGTGATAAGTTTGAGAACACAATTAAACAACTTCAAGAAGGTTGAAACAATGTTGAGGTCTAAGTTAGGAGATGCTGAGGGGAAGAGGGTTATCTCAAGAGCTGTCTACTTGTTTCATATTGGTCTCAACGATATTCAATATCCATTTAGTATAAACTCTTCCGTACTTCAATCCATTTCCGACGAGAAATACGTTGATTATGTTGTTGGTAACATGACAGACGTTTTCAAGGTAAATTTAAGAAAAACTGTTTTAATTTGTTAGGTTTCTATTTTGGACTGAAAAAAAATGAGAGATGGTGTTATGTTCTTAGGAAGTGTATAATCTTGGAGGAAGGAAGTTTGGAATCTTGAACACAGGACCATACGATTGTGCACCAGCCTCATTGATTTTAGACCAAACGAAGATAGGATCTTGTTTTCAGCCGGTTACTAAGCTGATCGATATGCACAACAAGAAGCTTCTGAATAGTTTGAGGTGGCTAAAGCATGAACTATCTGGATTCAAATACGCACTTCACGACTATCACACTTCCTTATCCGAAAGGATAAATAATCCTTCAAAATACGGTAACACAACTTGCTTAATGGTCGCGATATATATGTTATAGATTCTTTAGTATAAGCTTTTGGAGTGTTTTGAAGGGTTCAAGGAGGGGAAGAAGGCATGTTGCGGAAGCGGACCGTTCAGGGGAACCAGTACCTGTGGAGGCCGAGGGATACCGTCGCAAAGTTATGACTTATGTGAAAATGTTACAGAGTATTTGTTCTTTGATGCTTTTCATTTGACGGAAAAAGCTAATCAACAAATCGCAGAGCTGATTTGGAGTGGACCGATAAATATCACTGGACCTTATAATCTCAAAGCGCTGTTTGAACTTAACTAAAAAAAAACTCAATATGTTTCATCTTTCCTTGGTTTTCATTTTTTTTTTTTTTTTTGAGTCTGTCACAAGAATATTGCAGTTTTCTTGAATAATTTCCTTGTAAATTAAAGGAAGTTTCAATTTGTCAACTCAAATGAATGAGCTAGTAGGCTAGTAGCCCTAAAGTACCCTTAAAATGATGGCCTATATCTACCATTAGTGTTTTTTTAACTAAGTTATGTGACAGTAAAAACATTTAGACGATTCATATAAGGCATCTTTTTTGCCTATAATTTTTCGACTTTTTATGATTTTTTTTTTTTTTTTTTTTTTGTATTTTCAAAAGTAAATTGCAAAAATCGATATACTGGTGTGCTCTGTTGCACATGATTTATTCCATGTTCATATATATATAATATATTACATCGTTTTGTATGGGAGAAAAGCTCCTATTAATTTTTCTTTACCTTTGGAGACTTTATTAACTACAATCATTAGCGTTAGAGGCACATTTTCTCAAAATCAGTTTTCGAATTGAAGAGTGCAACTTTTATTTCGTAGACCATATTATAAAAGTGGAAGCAGAAAGGTCCGAAATTGTTATCGAAAACATAATCATAATAAATATATAATAAAATAACAACTGTTCGTCTATCTTTAAATGTGGGAATTAAGGAGTCGAAAGGTCCAAAAACCAACTTCATTAACGTATCCTTCTTTGAAGTTGAGATTCTCTCTATCTTTTCAGAAATGGCTTCTTCCTTCTTGAAGGTCAAAAAGAAAGACATAAACTGGGCAGAGCTTCCACCGGAGTTAATCTCTTCGATTCTGCTCAGGCTTGACGTGGTTGAGATACTTGAAAACGCTCAGATTGTTTGCAAACCGTGGAGAAGCGTCACTAAAGACCCTTATATGTGGCGCAAAGTCGACATGCAAAACGTTGGAAGTCTAGGATTCTGTGATCTCAAACTCGAGAAGATGTGTCGTAACGCCGTTGATCGCAGCAAAGGCGGTTTGGTCGAAATCAGGATTGGGAACTTTGGCAATGATGAACTCCTCAACTACATTGCCGACAGGTTCTCTTTTCTCTCTATCTTGTTTCTTTCCTTATATTAGATCTTCTATGCCTTTCACGTTAACATGCATACATGGGTTTTACAACTTACAAGTAACGGTAGGACTACTTCTTTGTTCTCACATTGTCGAGTAGTACTGTTTCGTTTCACACTCTCATAATTCTCGTAAAATATATGCATCCTTTGCAATGATTAATTAGGAGAACAAATAACCATCCTTGGAGGTAATATATTCTGTTTGGAGAAACATTGATCTCTATATTGATAAATCATAAATGTTAGAAATCGATTAAGTTATTTTTGTGAAGAGATGAATTGTAGGAGAATGTAGGGATTACTGTTCAAAATGCTATTTTTGGTTCATCAATTTCTAAATATGTCATTTCCCAAATATATTTTAAATTTTCCAATTTTTACCACTTAAAAAACTTAACATTGGATTTTTTTTTTTTAATCATAAACTACATACTACATAATAACAAATATTGTACCCTACAAAAATATAATATGTAAAGTTGTGTTTTAAGATATAAGAAAATAGCAAATTCATTATGAGAGATAGGATATATTTAATTTTCCTTCTTTTATATGATTCAAAAACAGTTTCAAAAATTATAACTACTAAAATATACAAACCATAATAAACTGTTCTAGGTTGTGCTGCTTTAGTTTATGATTAAACTTTAAAAGCAATATGTACTTGCAGATCAAGTAATCTGAGAAGCTTTGGACTTGCGATGTGCAATGGAATGTCGAACGAGGGACTTGTGAATGCAGTTGGAAAACTTCGACTGCTTGAAGAGCTCGAGGTCTCAAACATGTGGTCAGACCTGGATTTTAAAGCTATAGGCCATTCTTGCCCACGGCTAAAGTCACTGAAGCTGAACTGCTCGGGTTACTGGTGCCCTTACTACCGCTCCAAGAGTGATGACGACGATGCCCTAGCAATTTCCGAGAGCATGCCCGAACTAAGCCACCTCCAGCTTCTTGGGAACGGACTTTCAGACATCGGCTTATACGCCATTCTTGACAACTGTCCTCACTTGGAACACCTTGACATACGCCGGTGTTTCAATGTCCAGGATCTAAAAAACCGATGTTCGGAAATCAAAGTGTTGAGAGGCCCTAATGACTCAACTGCTGATTACCGATTTGTTATCGTTTATTACGATACTGATACTGATACTGATTCGGATGAAGATGATTACTTCGGCTACCCAGTTTACTGAACACTACCGGTCTTTTCAAGATCAGCGGCGAATGATTTGTATGAAGTATGAACTCGTTCATATACTTTTCTATCTTTATCAGTAGTTCCCAGTTGGTACGACTTTGCAACTTTTATTAATATTATTATTATTGCTTTCTTTTCTTGTTTTTTTTGATGGAAAATGCGAAAAAGGGTAGACAAATCCCCATAAAATATTATTAAGCGAGAAAAAATAAGTACAAACGAACATATCTACAATGTCTAGCAGTGAAACATATGGAACCCCAGACACGATGAACTCGCTAATCCATTTGCTTAACGATTAGCTTTTCCATACAATGCGAAATACGACTAACCAATTTTTTGATAAAAAATCATAGCATATTCGTACTATAAAGGACAGTGGATGAGATTCACTGATTCCTGTCATAAAAAACACAACCACCATTTACCTCCATTTCAACTGTGTAACTCGACGCTCCCAAACAATATATAAACCATAATAAATACCTCATAACTCCACACCAGTTCTTCATCTTGTAGTATGCCTCTAGCAGTAGCTAACCCGAGATTGCCTCGAGAAGCTCCATGTGTTTTCAATTTCACCCACCCTTAATTTGGAAAGAGCCACTTAATCAACCGCTCTTCCCTCGGAGTATTATTATGCCTTGTTCCCATAGTAGTGTGTGCCAAGTAAACTTTCCGCGTTAGGTTCTTTACCAAAGCCTCCTATCTTGACATTTACTAGTAGAACCAAAGACATTACCAAACCACCATTTCCATACTCACCAAACACAGATTGCAAACATCGTTGACTACCATTAATAAACTCTTAATTATTAATGGTAGTAAATTATGAGAACGGTTACAATGACGATTATACTATAGACAATTCTCTCCGACCCTATTAAATTCACTATAGATTACACTTTTTCCTCGGACGGACGACACTTCCTTCTCCATACATAGACTATTGTTATTGTTATTTTATAAGAACTTGTTACTAAAACCTCGATATTGCTAAACCTTTAAAAATTCTTACTGTAATATCTATTACCGGGTTCGATGATCTTGACGAATAAAAATAGAGTTTTATTAATAGTCAAGATAACATATATAATTAGTAGTACCAAAAAATATTACGATCATCGATCCGAAACCATATATAATATCTTGGGGTGTGCATTAAACTGCGTTAACGTTTTAACCTTTTTCCAGTATCAAATTTTGTAGGAAAAAGTATTTACGTACCTCCAGCCCCGGCTCAACATTATTCTGGTCCCCCGGCTCAACATTATTCTGGTTTTGAGATTTTTTTAAATTTGAAGTTAAATTTTAAGCCTTCTTAAGAAAAAATTATACTATGTTTTAAAACCTTTTAATATTATATGGGCCTTTTAAAATAAAATTAATAGTTTTAGAAAATTTTGGGCCCTTTTACTAAAACTTTTGGGCCCATTCCTTATGTAAATTTTTTTAAAAAGTCATAGTCCTCTGGGCCGTGGCCCCAGCCCCTTTGCCCACCCCATTTGGGCCGGACCCTGCGTACCTCACAGTAGCCCAGCTAACGAACCGAATATCCATTTTTTTTTGAAAATTCGTATCCGAAAATCCAAAAAAATAAATCAAAATACCATGTATCCGTATCTAAATACCGGATATTAGTTATCTAAATACCGAATATCCGTTATCCACTTTAAAAAACCGCATTATCCGTATCCGTATACAAAATATCCGGCATTTTACTATCCGTCTCTGTATACATTTTTCAGAGAAACTGATACGGATATGAATATGTGCGGATACGGTTTATTAATCTCAGGGCTACCTCACAGTGTACGATGATACCATATTTCAGATAAACGCCAGCTGAAAAACAGTTGATGTACCTATAACATTAACGACAAAGTAACAATTTTTAAAGGCTGTTTTTTGAGAGCTATTTATCAAATGAAGAATGACTTACTGCTCCAGTTCAGGCAATGCATCTATTATGAGAAATATCAGCAAAGTCTTGGCTAGATCTAGAGAGCAATTCTCTAAGTTCCTCTTCCGATGTCAAAACTAGAACAATATGTATTAATGGACTAAGAACATTATTTGTAAGCTCAGAGGTTAACAAATATTAATCTCTGGTGGCACAAAACCAAAAAACTTTATAAAAGCTAAGTGCTTCCAAGCTTACCTTAGCCTATGGATCACAGTTCCCAGCATTAACAATATTTAGTTATGAATCACTTATACTATAAGAAAACTTACTCAGTCTTAATTGTTGGTGAGAAACTTGGCATATTTGTGCTCCAGAAACTCCTGTAAAATAAAATAAAAGGGTTGAAGCTATGATTGCATGATTGAAACTTAATAATGTCTGATATTATTTCCAAGCTAAAATTAGTGCAATTTTTTTTTCCAGTAGTTTGAAAGCTTAGAAGTTGCAGCAGCAATGGCGAAATTAGGAGGATGCATGTTGTAGAAAAGCTTCTTCACATTCTCAAAATCCAAAACATATCTGAATCCAAGGAAATTATATTAGTAAGCTGGGGAAACTTAAATGATATGCACACTTGAAACCAAAATGAGGGCGGATGCACTCCCTTTATGTATCACCATAGTGTAAAGCCATGTCTGTGTTCTTGCAATAAGAGCAGTTCTTCATGTTTATGTTATAAAGCTTTTTAGGCTCTTCCACTCCTCTTGTATTGATAGAGAATTGGAGGATGCTCAGCTTCATATGTAAACATAAGCAGACATAGACAGTGTTGCTAATATCGTTCTTAGGCTTTGTCATCACTTTCTTCTTCTGAAGGAAACTGACTTGGCCCAACATATTTTATTACTCCCTGCTAAAGACATGTGAGGTGAGTTAGTAACCTTTACGATATTTTTGGTTTACTCCTTCTTGAGAATTTGGAGAGCTTCTCTTATTCTTTATATGGCTCATGGCTTCTTCTTCATTCGTCCTTTTTACAATCTTCTAGCAATATATCAACCCAACAACTGTTTGACATGGTACATGAGACTGACCAGCCACTAATATATATATATTTTTAACACTCTCGTATAAGTTACCATACCTTCATAGCTTGTCGTCTTGTTATATAACTACTTAATTCAAGAAGCTAGCTTTGAGTTGTAGTCCACGAAAAAACTACAAAACCAAATCTTCTGAAATCATAAGAGTCTAGCGCAAGATTTTAAGAGCATAAATAATACTGTTATAAAGCCAACAATGTGGATTTTACCTGGAGATTATCATCAGTGCAGTCCATCGTTACCAAAGATTCTCTTATATACTTGAGTCTTGGGAGATCTACCTCCAAATACAAACAATCTTTCTGATCTTCCCTAAATATAATCAAGGAGTAGAGATTCAGTGAGCCATAGAGATTACATATGCAATGGATCTATTATGATAGGAAAACGTTTCTCTTCATAATGTAAGTGATGCAGCATCTATCCTGAAATCTGAAAGCAGGTAGTATTAACAGTAACCACAGTCCCACGTCCAACTAGAATACACCCAAACCTTTGCACTCTTACTCCAATAGACTTGTGTCTCTCTCGTGTTTTTTCTTCTAAGATCATCTCAACTGTAGTTTCTTCATACTCCACATTCACATTAAGTATTATGTGACAAAAACATTGAATACTGTTATTAAAGGGTTCTGACATATTGCAAACGGTAACTTGTAAAAGAAAAAACCATCGTACATTGGGTAAGGCACAAGACTATATATCTGATGTTCACGTAGTATGCACCTGACAATATGTGATGTGGTCTGGTTTCATGGCATCATTATGCGGATTCAGTTTCAGTTCCTCTATGGTATTCATCAAAAACCTCAAAACACATTTCAACAAAAACACCATGTTGAAAAGTTTATGACTAAGTTGGTTGTCTAGCCTTTGATGCAACATAAACCCGTCATTATTTGTAGCCTGTTGAAAAAGAGATCTGACGGATTATCCTTATAAATGGTTTGACTGTAACACTCTACATATGTCATTGATGGTCTCGTGAAGGCGTAATACTGTATATTGAGTATTTTTTCATCTTATCCTGCATCATATAATTATTAGAGAAACATTGAAAAATATGAGACGCTTAAAACCAGAATATAATTTATGAACAATGGATGTTTAAGATTACGCAGCAACAGCTCTTCTCCACTACACTGTTTCTATGATCTCGCAGAATTTTACAACTGATCACACATATACCTGCAGGACAGAGGCTAGAACAGACATATTTGTCGTTAAGAATTTTGGCCAGCTTGTTTACTCTCTAATGAGGTTGGTCCCTCATCCCTACTGAGAAAATAAACCAGATTAGGTAGATATTACATCACCTAAGCTGTTTTAACAGGTCATGATGGGTCAGCTGAATAGTACCTGGCACCTATTATACTCTGCAGAGACTGCACTTGTTTGATAATAAATTCAAAACTGTAGAACAATTGATTCATGTCAGTTCAGAGCTTTTTAGTCATATCTAGTTTCCTTGGCAGCCTATGAGTAGTCTCACAAATATTATATTGCACACCATATAACACTAATTCACTAATTCAAGAGTCTCACCATTGCAGGGGAAGCAGACTATGCTTCTCAACACATCAATAAGATTAAACTGAAATAAATTTCATTTTACCAAAATTTCATCCATTTCTGTAAATTAGTTTTTGTTATTCTCTGGGAAAGATCATAACAAAGATAAAAGACTATTTAGTTCTCCTGCAAAATTAAACTTTTTCATCTGTAAGTGGTAACAAACAGAGACAGAGATGGAATTGAGAAGACACACCTGTAATTTGTGAATAGAACAGTGAGCGGCAATCTTTTGCATTTCTCATGACCTGATACATAATTAGTAAGTGGTTGCAACAAAGCCATTTGTAAACTTTATATATTACTTCTACAAATAAATATACTTCAAAGAGGGAATCCCTTTCTCTACCACATTCATAAATTCTCACAAGTTTCTCTTTTCCTCATCACAAGAAAATACATGAGCATGTCGCCAATAGATATCTCAAAGAGAAAAAACACATAATCGTAGGTCTTGAGATAGGTAATCGCCTCAAGAATTCTTTTATGAGTTTGCCAGGGAAATTAGCAGTTTGTGAGTTTCTGGAAATAATCTCAAACGCATGAATGGAAAAGGGATTATGAAAGCATACGAGTGTTTACCATGTTCTTGAAATATTTAGGTAGTCTTGTCACCAAAACTGCGAAGTACTCTTGGCATTGAGAAATGGGTGAGTAGGGCCATTGAGGCGATTAAGTAACTATTAAAGAACCAGGAAGATATGAGTCATCTCAAAGATTTCTAACAGAAAAGATTGATCAATTTAGAAAAATGCAATTAGCTCATCTGTGTTATGTTCATAGCTGGAAAGAATCATGCGAGCATCATTTCAAGTTACCACACATGATCAGCTTTACCATTTACTGACTTTGGCATCCCTTAACTTTTCTGATACGACTTCTGAACTTTTCATTCATAGTCAGTAGCTTCCTCATCCACCCAGAATTTTGGCCAGCTTGTTTACTCTTTTATGAGCTTGGTCCTCATCCCTACTGAGACAACATACAAAAAATGAAACTAGAATAGGTAGATACTACATCGTCCATTATACTCGGCAGAAACTTCATTTGTTTAATAATAAGATTATAACCGTAGAGCAATTGATATATGTGATTTCTGAGCTTTATTGTCACATCTAGTTTCCTTGGCAGCCTAAGCATAGTCTCACAAATATTCTATGATATAACGTATAACACTAATTCAAGAACTTGTAATGTATCCATGGTTACCACTATGAGACCACCATTGCAAGGGAAGCTCTCAGATAGAGGAAGTTCATCACTATGGATAATGACAATGGGGAAGCAGACCATCAACACGATTTCCTCTACTCCCACTTGTTCCTTCCTTCCTTCCCAGCAACAGCAGCTTTGTTTCCAATAACGATGTACAGGACGAGAAGACAACTAGAACCTCGAAACTTCAGCCACTCATTTCTGAAAATTAGTTTTTGTTCTTCCTGGGGAAGCTCATGAACAAAAATAACTCCTACAAAATTAAATAGTCTAATCAGTAAGTGGCAAAAAAGAAAGACAGAGATGACATTTTTGAGACAGAATTAAGAAGACACACCTCTTATTTGTGAATAGAACAATAATCGACAATCTTTGTATCTCTTATGACCTGAAACATAACTGGTTATAACAAATTCGTTTGTTCATCTTTTACCACCTTCATAAAATGTCACAAGTTCTCGTTTTCTCATCACAATATAAGAAATGAGCCTGTTACCAAATAGAAGGCAATTCAAAGAGAAAAACACATAATATAAGGCAAGTTCTCGGTGTAGATGATTAAGAAATTTATAAGATAAGGCTATAAAAAACTTAAAAATCGAAAGAAAGGAAAAGGGATTATGATTTATGAATACTATACGAGTGCCTACCGTGTTCCTGAGATATTTAGGTAGTCCTGTCTTCAGAACTGCAAAGAACTCTTGCCACTGAAAAATGGGAGTTTCGGGCTGTCAAGGCGATTAAGTAGTCTTAAACAACCTGGAAGTTAATGACCTGATCAAATTGGGGAAAAAAAAGAAGCAAATACGTTTCTCTCATATATGTAATGTTCATAGCCGGAAAGAATCATGTGAGTAGTATTACATATTGCCGCACATCTCTGATCAACTGTACCATATACTGCCGCTGGAATCACTAATCTAGGGAAAATTCTGCTGAAGGGTTCGACCTTTCTTACAGCAGAAGGATCATCAAGCTTGACTATAATTAGTTCACAAGCCTGTCAAGAAAACAATGGATGGATTAATAAATTTCCACAAAACTGTACCAAACCAATTTTTTTTTATTAACAACGGAGGAATACATCACCTTCATGGCTTGTCCATTAGAAGTTTGAAATGGATAACTCTTGACGCAGGTGAAAGAAGTGGCGGCATACACATCTTCATGGCCTAAAAGTTCCGCATAGGGCGTATCAGCATCAACATTGTTATTGTCTGTAGTAATTAGTAACAAATTTTTTTATCAAAGAGAAGACATGTTCCTGCCCCTTTTTCCTCCGCATATATGACATAACATTTACCATTTTACTGAAACAACAGAAACACCAACCAAGGAGGTGAGAGATTTTCAAACTTCAGTTACTATGCAGGTGATTTCCTAATACCACCTAACTGCGTGACACATGTATCTTTGTTTGGTAATATGGAATAAAAGTAGAAAGCTTTCATGTATCAACAAACCTTAACCCCCATCCCGTAGAGTGAGTATTTCTGATACAGCTTGTATATTGTTCATCCCTAGCCTGTAACTTCCTCATTCACCCCGGAAAACATCGATCTAGACACAGTTCTGTTCAAGGTAATGAGCCTTGGTAACTACACCTCTAGACTTTAGTGCATTAAAACGATAATCATACCGTATGTTTACTTCCTGCAATATTTAAAGACATTTGAGAATGGACAACAATTACATGCTGCAATTTAAGGAGACAAAAAGTAAACTACAAGATCAATATGAGAAATACAAAAGAGAGCCTGATATTAGAGTACCCTTGAAATAATTTCCCCTTCTCAATATACAACGTAAGCCAAAACCACAGAAGCACTGGCCGCGGATGCTTTATGAAAAAATAAAACATCTCGTCACAAGATAGCAAAATTTTAAAGAAAAATAGATACCTGAGAAAGAGGGAGAGCGGGATACCAGAAAGACCTCTCTGCCCTGCCCGCATAACATTCCACTTGATGCAAAAATCCATCCTGAAATCTGAAAGCAGGGAGGCATGTCTCTTTGTAACTGGATTCAGCTAGATATACTAGAGCAATGAGCTCATTTAGGGCTTAGTGATTTTGTGTTCGCTCATGTACTACAAACCTCAAGATTGGGGTATTGATGTTCTACCAAAACCTGGAAAAGGACAGAATTAATAAATGGTAGTGAAAGGATATCCAAGCGTTCTGTAAACTAACAATTGAATATAACAGACATTTAACTCTACTGGTTATGTTGATGGTGTCTCTTTTTCATGTTGTTTCTCTTCTCCAGTCGTTCGTCAAAGATTATCAATGTTGGTACAAGATCTACTTGTTGAACTACCTCTTTCTTTACTTGTAAGAAGTGGAGATCATAACTCAAACCTCCACAGTCCCTTCAATCAAGAATCACTATACTAAAGACCAGATAAACACCACTAGTAGGAAATCAACATCTCAGATATAGGAAGTAAATTACTACTATATGGTTTCAATCTATAGTCTCTTGTGTGACACGTTATGATCCATGCTTTCAATGTTTCAAGAGATAACACAGCAGATAATCTCACTCACGACCACATCAAAAACAAGTTATAGGGATTTGTATTTCTTTTACCTTATAGACATGCCACCAAATTTTCCCCAGTGTAATTAAGACGTGCAATGCTCCCATGGTTAGCTGGTATTCACGGCTGCATGATAAAAACATACAATTCACCCATAAGATAATAACTATACAAAAGGAACATGGTAAAGGTATTAAATTATTAATATCTGGAAACATGAGAAATGTCCACAAGAAGTGAATGTGATCCATGCGGACGCTATGAGTCATTGCTGGGGTAGAATCTAGAAGCTTACAAAAGGCTCAGAAGTACAGAAAAAGAGACAAAAAAAAAGAGTTAAAAACACATATGGAGAGCCTCCTTTAAAGTTTAAATTTCCAAACTGAAGGAGATTAGGAGTGTCAACCAAATATAAGGTTATCTACTGATAGAATTCCACAAAACTAATTAAAAAGATTGATTTACTCAATCATGATAGACTAAACCCTGCAACTTAATCCCTATTAATCCCGTGTCAGAAACAAGTAAAGAGCATGCGTTACCTTCTGTTCTGTTATATTCCAGTTTTTTGAGAACTTTCTTGTTGACCTCTCTCTTGCTACAAGCAATTGGATATAGATAACACATGTATCTTTGATGAAAAATAAATAATCCACACATGGATTGACAAGATAAAACATTTGATTCTATACACTCTATATCTTACATGTCTCTCTAATAGTATTATCAAATGCTTTCTGCATATATCCAAATCTGCAACACTTTTTACAGTGGATGAACTGACTACACTTTCTAGCATGTTCCAAATGTTAGAGAGCTTTCAGTGTAAAATATTCCAAAAAAACAAATCATCAATCACCTTAAAGGGTAAAGGAAAGAGGCATATTAAAACAAAATCATAGTAATTTCAAATTGGATAGGATAACAAAATGGAAAACAGGAACCCAGAATAAATCAGCATAATCTTACATTCTAATGTAGGAACTAGAGAAGATATACTACAGTGAGCTGATATAGTGCTTGGTGATGTTGTATTCTCAGAGTCCCCCTATACTGCGAACCATCAACTTGGGGTACTGATGTTCCATCAGAACCTGGACAAAGACGTATTAATAATTGGCAGTGAAAGGACAAATAAACAAAAGAAGATGGGTGACCCAAAAATAAGAACAAAAAGTTATACTAGTGAGTTCATGGCACAACCTATTTCCTAAGATCTTAACATGGTGATTGGATTGGATTGTATTGAGCTACCTTTCCGACTTCGAGGTCCTTCTCCGCCAGTAATGCCTAACCATGCTGCTCAACTCACTGTCTACTTGTCCAGTTTGGCCAACTTCCTCTGTAAGCACTTTACTAAATTATGATCAGTTTTGCCACCAAATTATCGATATACGTAGAGGAAATGAGGAATACTTCTTCCAAATCTAAGCTAAATCTTCCATCAAACAATTAGTTCAAACGATCCAACCATTAACAAGCTCCATAACACATATGATTAATAGGATTTTAAAAATAATCTCGAACCATTTTAACAGAACCTGAACTCCTAAAAGTGGAGAACAAAAGCTAGATTTAGAAATTGTACCATGTTAGATTGGAATCCATTTATCATTTTAAGACTGTTAAGCTCCACCTTACGCGTCTCTAGTCCCTTTAGCTAATCCTCGGTCTTTTCCTTTAAACAGAGAAAAACCAAAGGAAATGATTGCAAAGACACAGTAGAAGTTAGTACAAAACATCTTTTAACATTACATGCCGATTGGATACACTACTGTCGCTATTTTGATGAAAAGTACTCATATACCTTCACGTACTACTTGGCTTGAGGAAGCCCCCACTCCTCCTTCACATATATCAACCTGTAGAAATCAACGAACAAGTCTATAGAGAATATGTTTATTTTTAATTTGAATGCCCTGTAAAGAAGAAAATATGAGCATACCAGTCCAATGAAGACAATAGGAACCTGGTGACAAAAGTATAATCACAAACCTGGAGATTATGCATTATATCCACAATCTTTAACAGATCTTTCTTGTCTTCTCGATGCATGTGTTCTATAACATCAGCCTTTCAAAGAAAATTTAAGACTCCTCACACATAACTAGCAACAATAAAGATGGTCGTGAACTATTATACCATGTATGTACCAGCCTGTTATCATGAATAATTCTTCTATGGATAGATATTCTTCAAAGAGCGCATACCTTTTTTGACCACCTCCATAAGACTTCACAAAGCTAATTCTTTCTCATCACTTTGATGTTAAATGAGCCTGCCACAAAAAGTGGACAGATAAGTAGGCAAATCAAAGAGTACAACACAAAATCAAAGGTCTGAAAATGGAAGAAATAGTAAGTAATCACCTCAAGAATGCCTTTTAAGAGTTTGGTAGGGAAAACTACAGTCAGGGAATATTTGGAGAATCTCAACTAGTCATGTTATATGATAAAGGATTCTATAAGAAATTCTTCAGAAAACTTGTTAATAGTATACGAGAGTTTACTATGTTATCGACGTCATTAGATAATCTTGTATCCAGAACTGCAAAGTATTCTTGACACTGAAAAATGGGAGTTCAGGGGATCAGGGCCATCACGACATTCAAGTAAATGTTAAAATTTTTGGAAAATATGAGCTCAGCGTCAAGTATTCTATTATAAAATTTTGATAACACAAGAAAGGGAAATTATGTTTACCTCATTTACGTTATATTCATAGCCGACAAGAATCGTGTAAACAGCTTTTAATGTTGCAGCACCTGATAAGATTTATCAGAAATTTAAGTTGGAAGCCCTTATCTTGGGAAACTGCAAAATAAGTGGAGAACCAGAGCTAGAATTTGTACCATGTTAGGCTTGAATTCTTTAACTTTTTGCAGTTTTTAAGCTCCACCTAACCCCCTTCTTGTAAGGCAGCTCTCAACTCTGATCACATTAATAGGTAGGAAACTAGAGACATCAAATACATACCATAGCTCTTTATCTGCCTTTGTATCCTCTTGAACTCCACCAGCCAATTCAAGGGAAGGTCTAGGCAGTCTAGATTAAGGCCAATAAATTATGTTCCATTTCCTCTAGCTGCTCACATGACAGTTAAATGACACAGACTTCGGTGATTTACGAAACCATATTCTGGTTGAATCAGATAAATTAAAATAACCAAGCGATGTACGATTTTCTTATCTTTTTGAGCCAGCAGTGTTCTGTCCTGGTATATTGAAGCTCTACTACTTGTCTGGAGCAGAAACACAAAAAGCATCAAATGGCCACGGTGAGTCAATTGGCGATGAATCTCATTACTGGCACCAAACGAAGCTGAATTCGGATTTCAATGTCACTCAAGCTTCTCTCAAACCAAGTTGTTGGCATGCTTTTACCACTATACACATCCTACTACAACCTCTCATTCTTGATGTCGGACAGCACCAGGCTTCTGTTAGCGTTTTTGTGGTGCATCAGCATCTGATAAACAATAAAGAATCACTAAAAATACGAGATGCTATAAAACAAGTACGTGTTTCATCATCATAATCATACCATCATGGTTTATGGACAGAGGAGGTTCAAGATGTCGCAACAATGGCTCTCTTCTCCATTATTTATATCGTTTCTCCACAAAAATCTGAAGAGCAACATAAATGTTTCCAAATCAGTTACTAAATACAAACACAAATAGAACAACACAAGCAATACAGGATGCAGCGAGTAATACGCAGAGAAAGAGCGTACCTGAAACTAGGCATGGTTGATTGTTTCTTTGTGTTTGCGTTTACGGTCTTGTAACATGGAAACGCAAACACTTTGACCTTTGTCACGACTATGAATTAGGCTAATCAGTGGCAACGCCTCTGCTCATCCTCTGAAGATCATGAATCCTCGAATTTGAATGAATAGCATCTTCATTGATGTAATCCCCTTTGAAAATCAGACAATTTCAATCCCCGCGAATTGACCTAAAAACTCAAATTCTCAATAGTATACAAATTCCAGAAAAATTATCTTTAGAAAAAGAGAAATCAAATCTCAGTTACCGTAACGACGGAGACTTTTAGCCACCGATCCGAGAGAAGAATCCTCAAGGGGAAACGACTTTTGTTTCCGTTGGGTACTTTGGAATTCGGCTCCGTTACCACTCCGGCGAACACGATTGAGGCTTCCTCCTTCTCTCCCTCACGTTCTCTTCTCGTCCTTTCTCCGCGATAAATCCTCCGTCTTCTCCTTCTCCACTCTCTCCAGCACCGCCTCGGCGCCTCCTACTCCACTAGATATCTCTCTCCAACGGCGCTTCGTTTCATTCCCCTTCGATAAAATCATCGACAACGGTGGCTCACGATTTCAACGCTTCTCTCTACTGCTTCTTTGACGGAGATTGAGACGTTAGAAATTGGGAGAGCCTCTGAGACCCCAACGGTCGAAATTAGAATTTCGAAAGTGATCTCTTTGTGGGATTTTAATAGACTCTTGCCGACCACGCGATTGATATATCACTCGTTTCGATTTTCTGTTTTACTTTTGAATTATGACCGTTTTTGTTATTACTTACTCCTATTTTGTGTATTAAATAGCTTAAAATTTAAACTAATAACACAATTTAAATCATTAAATGAAAAGGAACAACTTGCAAAGAATAATTTAATCATCTAATAATAAGAACAAAATTATTTGATACAAATTGTGAAAGTTATTAAAGGATTTTCAGAAACAGATTACACTGACACATGTCATTTTCTTATTCGATAATTAAACCACTCATACGTCTTAATCGATCATAAAGTTCATAACCGCAATTCGTCAACTGCCACCATCTCCGAGTAATCACTGGTAAAATCAAACTGCCTATTTCCAAAACTTATGTAACTTTCCGGTGAAATCTGCTCGAATAAAAAAGTTTGATTTTTTATTTTTTGTAGTTATGGATACGGAGAATACAAGGTCAACGGAGATATCAGAGACATTGTTGTTACCAGCGACGAATCTGGATCACGATGACGAAGATGTACCCGAGTGGAAAGACCAGATCACGATCCGAGGCTTGGTCGCTAGTGCCTTGTTGGGGATACTGTTCTGTATCATTACCCATAAGCTTAATCTTACAATCGGAATCATTCCTTCTCTAAACGTAGCTGCTGGTCTTCTCGGATTCTTCTTCGTCAAGTCGTGGACTGGTTTCTTGTCTAAATTAGGGTTTTCACCTAAACCCTTTACTAAGCAAGAGAACACTGTTATTCAGACTTGCGTTGTCTCCTGCTACGGTCTTGCTTATAGCGGTAATTAAAAATCATTACTTTAGCTTGCAAAATGGGAAACGTTAGATTTGGTTCTATGATTATGGATGATAAGGATTGGTCTAGTCTTTTGATTGTGCCTAATCTTATAAATTTGATTGCTTTCTTGTTTTTTAAAGGAGGATTTGGTTCGTATTTGCTTGCTATGGATGACAGGACATATAAGCTCATTGGTGCTGATTATCCTGGAAACAATCCTGAAGATGTTATAAATCCTGGATTGTGGTGGATGACTGGGTTTCTATTTGTTGTTAGCTTCCTCGGTCTCTTCAGTCTCGTGCCACTTCGTAAGGTAGCGTCTCACTACTGTCTGAGAAACTTATATTACTGTATTGTTTGATGTCTTGATTCTTTATTCGATGGTGTATCTCAGGTGATGATTTTGGACTACAACCTTACTTATCCCAGTGGAACCGCTACAGCCATGTTGATTAACAGTTTCCACAACAACACTGGAGCTGAGCTTGCAGGGTAATTGTCAGAGGTTCATCTTTTCAAACTCACCTCTCTGCAAATGATAGCTTGTGTTTCATTTAATATTTATCTCCAATGTTCTTCACTTCAGAAACCAAGTTAAATGTCTTGGGAAATACCTGAGCATTAGCTTGGTTTGGAGTTGCTTCAAGTGGTTCTTCAGTGGTATTGGTGGTGCTTGTGGATTTGATCACTTTCCCACACTTGGTTTGGCACTGTTCAAGAACACGTAAGTTCATAGTTTCTCTGTTTAACCAGTATAGTACAGTAGTTTAACGATACTCTATTGCAAATGAGAATGTTTTAGCTTTTGGATCGATCTATGTAATCACTAGTCATGATTTTGTGCTGCGCAGGTTTTACTTTGATTTCAGTCCTACTTTTATCGGATGTGGTATGATATGTCCCCATTTGGTGAACTGTTCGGTTCTTCTCGGTGCCATCATTTCTTGGGGGTTTCTTTGGCCGTTCATATCACAACATGCTGGGGACTGGTATCCAGCTGACCTTGAGGCCAACGATTTCAAAGGTCTCTATGGCTATAAGGTATAATAAACAGATCAAGTATAAAGAGCTTGATCAAAGTTTTTATTTTCACACCAAAAGGGGAGAACAGAGTTGAGTTTCATTGGTACTCTCTCTGCAGTGGTTACTGATTCTTTTTTCATATCATTACCGAACTTATAGGTCTTTATCGCCACTGCTATCATCCTTGGTGACGGTCTATACAACCTCATTAAGATCATTGTTGTCTCTGTGAAGGAGTTCTGCAACCAAAATTCCCAACAACACCACCTACCTCTCTTTACTGACATTTTAGGTATGATTTTGATTCATCATCCATTGCCTTTTTAAGTTTTAAAGAATGTGTCTCTCATGACCATACTGAAAACGTCCGTCTCTCAAATGTATTCTTAAGAGTTTCTTTCTGCGTTTCTTAATTCAGATAAACATGAGACCTCGAAGTTACTTCTGGAGAAGAAGAAAAGAGATGATGTATTTCTCAAGGACCGTATACCCCTCGGGTTTGCGGTTTCTGGTTATGTGGGTCTTGCAGCCATTTCAACTGCTACAATTCCATTGATATTCCCACCATTGAAATGGTACTTAGTCCTCTGCTCATACTTGGTTGCCCCAGCTCTTGCTTTTTGCAATTCTTATGGAGCCGGGCTCACGGATATGAGCATGCCTTCAACCTATGGAAAGACTGGTCTTTTCATTATCGCTTCAATTGTAGGACATAAAGGTGGAGTCATTGCCGGTTTAGCAGCTTGTGGCCTTATGATGTCGATCGTCTCAACTGCAGCGGATCTCATGCAGGACTTTAAAACAGGTTACCTCACATTGTCATCTGCAAAATCCATGTTTGTAACTCAGCTTTTGGGTACAGCAATGGGTTGCATAATCACTCCTCTCACGTTCTGGCTGTTTTGGACTGCCTTTGATATTGGAGATCCTGATGGTGTGTACAAAGCACCTTACGCGATCATCTACCGCGAAATGGCTATTCTCGGGATAGAGGGCTTTGCGAAACTTCCCAAGCATTGTTTGGCTCTTTGTTGCGGATTCTTCATGGCTGCTCTGACTGTAAATCTTATAAGAGAAATTACACCGCCAAAGATCTCTAAGTTCATACCACTTCCAATGGCTATGGCTGGTCCATTCTACATAGGAGCGTACTTCACCATCGACATGTTCATAGGAACCGTGATTATGTTCGTATGGGAACGGATGAATAAGAAAGACGCAGATGATTACTCAGGTGCAGTAGCTTCAGGATTGATCTGTGGCGATGGAATCTGGACCATCCCATCAGCAATTCTTTCAATCTTAAGAATCAATCCACCCATCTGTATGTACTTTGGACCATCCTAGTCCTAGACATGGCTATCATGTTGAAATGTTTGTGCATTACATATGTTGCTACACATTTACAAACTGTAGAGTGTAGAGTAAGAAAACAAAGTCAACTTTGACCGGCGTTTTATGAGCCTGTTCTGCAGCCCAACTTTATATGGGCTTTTTGTGTCGAGAAGCCCATACAAATATAATAAATGTCCTTGCTCCTCGTCTCTTTTCTCAAAGTCATCATCGATTCATCATCATCAAAAACCCTAGGGTAAGTACGAAGTCAATCGTGAACTGAGAATCTTTGTCCGGTCGCTTAACTTGATTCTTATTTCTGGGTTCTGTTTCTTTGTTTGAATAGATTCAATTCAATACCATGGATCAACCACTGCCCGAACCCGTTACTTACGTCTGCGGAGGTAAACTCGACTAGAAAATGCAATCGAACATCTAATTTTTGCTTAGTCTCTGTAAAAGGTTGTAGCTTTGTGAATCTAAATGCTGAATTTGTTGTCTTATTATGAAAAGAAGAGAAAAAATAAAGAACCATAAAAGAGACCAGACACGGTTTCGCTTGGTTTGATATGCCTCTTTTGAGTAGCCTTATGAATCCTAATCTTTTAGGAGATTTCATAGTCTGGCTTAGTTAGGAGGCATAAATCAATCTGATCATCAATACTTTCCTGTATTGTTTTGATCTACGAGTTCTTTTTGAAGAGGAGCTTTGCTTTTGCTTAAAAATCAAGCTTCTCCCAAGCAGCCTCGGACATATACAATCAAACCCTAATTTCATAGGACAATTCCTTTTTTTTTTGTAAGTAAAAATGTTACCTTTGTTTTATTGTTTGCTTATCTTCTTTTTTCTGTGTCAGATTGTGGACAAGAGAACACTTTGAAGCCTGGGGATGTGATCCAATGCAGAGAGTGTGGGTACCGTATTCTCTACAAGAAACGTACCCGTAGAGGTAACTAATCCTTAATCCTCCTTTTGGTTTTGCAATGTTTTTAGCTTCTTTCGACCTTTCTTTTTTGGTCTTGATCTTAGTTTATGATACTGATGGAACGGTTTCAATTGTGTCTCGCAAAATACATAATATAGAGATCAGAGTTTTCGAATTTGTTTTGAGTTTGTACCTTTGTAATCACATTCCGGTCTACCACCCCGTTTTATATTTGGGTTGTTAATCTGTTGTTGTTCTTGTTCAAAATGTATATGTTGTGAACTTGTTTCCAGCTAATTTATCCGGTCATTTGTTCTCTTGCAGTTGTTCAATACGAAGCTCGCTGATATCCACTACTCCTGATGATGGTTCATAGCCAGTGAAGAAGGGTTGAGACGTTTTGCCACTGTTTGTAATATATACCGACATGGTTTTTGTTGAATTGCTTGTTCGGTTTGAATTGATCACAAGTGTGACTGTGTAACCTATTAACGATTTTGGATAGATGTAATCCTGGGAATAACTAAGTTCACTTGCTAGAATCCTTGATTGGCTATGATCTCCTCTCCTCCAAAATTACTCATCCTCTACCTCTGTTTTCTGGTGGTGGAAAAGGTGTGTGTGCCATATACCAATCTTGTTTACTATAGATTCTCGGGACCTGTTAGGAAGAGATCGAAGAGTGCATGAAGAGAAATCACCAGAATGCTACTTGCAAAATGCTTCATCAATAGCAAACAGAGGAATGAATTAGTGTGTTAATATCATATTAAACCTTTTGGTATACTAGTAAAAGGGTTGGAATAAGTGAATAATGCTTGGCTTAGTTTGGAGTTGCTTCAATTCATTCTTCAATGATAATGACTTAATCAACCAATTAGTATATAGGTTTAACAATTATCTGTGCGTATTCTCTTCTGATTTGCAAGTCTTTGGTGACGGTATCTGCAACCTCATTAAAAACATTGTTGCCACTGAGAAACTCTGCAACAAAAGATCCAAACGATTGACCTTGAGCATTTAAATAATAGTCTGATTACCATATACTAAAATCAATTACATTCTCAGAGTTTCTATCGGCGAACACAGAAAGTACCAAATCAATTTTATCAAAACCAAAAAAAACATCTAATGTATGGTTCCAAACTTAATCTTCAGGATCATAGGGTCTGTTGTCAAAATCATCTCTGTCCTGAGCTATGTCAGGGCGATACCTTTCAGACAAAATCTCAACTTGTTCTGCAAATGTTTTGGATTTCGGCATACCGATATGAAGGACCATCTGGTTCCACCGTTTTCTACAAGCTTCTCCATCTCGATTCTCCAAAAGAAAATCCCAATCCACATCGTCGATACAAGCAGCATCCAGTTTCAAAAGCTCTTCCAAGAGTCTATAGTCATCTACGTTAGCCCATGTTCCTTTTGCTACCATTGGTGATGTCAGCTGATCATACCATTTATTGCAGCAAGTCACATGGTCCCGTGTTCCAAGTACGTCGCTTATAGCCATCCAAGGGATGTTATCTTTGAGCATACCATGTTTTGCGTGCTTCTCTTGGAATGCTTTCATTCTAATGTCTTTGTTCACAAGATCAAAGAGATTTTGGTACTCCTGCCTCGTCCAATGACCTTTATTCTTTGATGCCAATCTTATTCTCCTCCAAGCGTCTTTCACATGCTTCCTGTGTTTACCTAACGCATCTGCAAGTGTTCTCCAATCATTCCCATGTTTCTTTTGAAACTCTATGACAAGTTCAAAATCCTCCTGCGTCCATACACCCCTGGATCCTTCTTCAAATATAGTATGTGCACGATTATAGACACTGTCATGTGTCCTCCAAGGTAAAGCAGATGCAATTTCTTTCCAACAGCCTTTAAGTTGTGGGTGTGCCTTGCATTCCATAACCATGTTTATCCCGTCATCTCCTAAAGCATGGTTATCAATGTATTCTAATACAGCCTTCTTTATTAACTCATCTTCTTCTTTTGTAAACCGCTTACCCCTTGTCAGCTTAACTTCTTCTTCCTCATCTCCCGTTTCTTCATCCTCCGCAGGAAAAAACTCCACTTGGTCAGAAAATGTCACCCTTTTTGTGCTTTTATTTGATGGGGTCGTCACTTCTTTATCACTCGGACAACACTCTTGCTTCTTCTTCCTTTTCTTCTTTGCATCTTTACTGTCATTGTTGTTTCTCTCAGCCTCTGAAACTTCACTTTGCTTGTTCTTCTTCTTTTTCTTCTTTGCATCTTTCGCCGAGTTCAAGTCGATTTCTTCGGCCTCTGAATCCACATTTTGTATCTTCTTTGCGCCTTTCTTAGAGTCCTTGTTGTCTTCCTCAAGCTCTGAATCCTCACTTGGTTTTTTCTCCTTACTTTTCTTTCTTGCATCCTTTGTAGAGCTCATCAAGTTGTTATCTTCAACTTCAGAATCCACAATTTCTTGCTTCTCCTTCTTTGCATGTTTCGTGGAGTCCTCGTTATCTTCTTCAACCTCTGGATCAACGCTTGTCTTTTTCTCCTTGATTTTTCTCTTGGCGCGATTAGTAGAGTTCAAGCTGGTTTTCTCAACCGCTGAATCAACACTTGGTTTCCTCTTCTTGCTCTTCCTCTTCATCTCCTTGTCTTTGTATTCTTCATCTCCCAAATCGCAGTCCTCCCGCTTTCTCTTATCACTTCGCACGAGTGGTTTCTCACAAACTTTGGGGCTTTCACTGTTTCCTACCACATTACTCCCAGATTCTCTCTTACCCTTCTTCTTCTTCTTCTTCTTCACACCATCCTCAGCTACAGAATCAATCAATTGCTTTTTCGATTTCTTCTTCCTAACAAGAGCTTCCTCACCCAATTCCTCACTATCACGCTCAGCAATCTCCCTCTCTCGGGTTTTTTTCTTCTTCCTTTTCTTCTCCTTCATCATAGAAACCTGCTCTGGAAATATTTCTTCAACGGTTCCTCCAGAATCAACCCTAATTTCACTCTTCTTCTTCTTTTCCTTCTCATCAGCCATCTCAGATTCCGGCGGACTCGGTAACGAAACCCTAATCAGCGGAAGAGTGGTTCAATTTAGGATTTTTTTTATTATTATTATTAGGGTTTTTAACTAATCTTGTTAACTTTTTACCTCTGAACTTGGGTCTTCGATGACACTCTCCATTTCAGAGGCCCAGGTCAACTATGTCCAGGTCAACTAGGCCCAGGTCAACTAGGTCCAGGTCAACTATGCCCAGATCAACTAGGCTCAGGTAAACTAGGCTCAGGTAAACTAGGTTCAGTTCAACTAGGCCCAGGTCAACTAGACTCTGGTAAACTAGGCCCAGGTCAACTAGGCTCAGGTAAACTAGGCTCAGGTAAACTAGGCTCAGTTCAACTAGGCCCAAGTCAACTAGGCTCTGGTAAACTAGGCCCAGGTCAACTAGGCTCAGGTAAACTAGGCCCAGTTTATACAAGTACAAATCCCCACCACCTAGATTCGCAGATAGATAATTTTTTTTTTTTTTTTTTTTTTTTTTTTTTTTTTTTTTTGTCATCAGATTCGCAGATAGATAAAAATAAAAAAAGTTTGGTAACTTTTACTCCCCGACCTTTGAAAACTGAAAAATCCCCACACCTTGAACTGGTCAAGTGGTCATGGATTCTAAGACGAACCCAAATTTACCAAGTTTCTTAAACCTGTCGCCACATAATCAGGACACTGACAAGAAGAGGAAACAAACCGAGGTTAAAGGTTTCGACTTTGTGGTCGGCGACAAAGAGCTCAAGAGGAAGAAGGAAGAAGAACAGATTCAGCTTCTTGGTGAGAAGAAGAAGAATAAGAAACCAAACAAAGATCGACACCGTAAGGTTGAAAGGAAGAATTCGAAGAGTTAGGTTGCCTGTACTCTGCGCTGCGAGGATTTATCAGTTGACTAAAGAGTTAGGTCACAAGACGGACGGAGAGACTCTTGAATGGTTGCTTCAACAAGCTGAGCCTTGGATAATCTCTGCTACTGGAAATGGAATCAGACCCGTTGGAGCCACCACCACCACTGAGTCTGTTGTTGTTTCTCGACCTCTTATCACGGCGGATTTGATGGGGTGTTATCATAACACAGAAGGAGAAGCTTCGAGGTCTCAAATGGCGGCAAATGGGTTGTGGAGAAATGAAACAGGGCAAAACACCACTGGAGGGTTTGATTTGAATTATGGATTTGGGTTTGATTTTAATGGTGTTTCAGAGATGGGGTTTGGAAACAATCAAATGCCTGAACTTGAATTAGGATTGTCTCAAGATGGGAATGTTGGGGTTTTGAATCCACAGGTTCATCAGCAAATGGGTCAAGGACAGTCTTAGGGTTTATCGTGAAGATGAGCAACAGAGTGGAGAGTAAAATGGTTCTTCAAGCTCAAACCTTTAATGCCTTTTTTACTTAGATTTGCATATATATATTTAGTGAGAATGTGATTTAATGCTTTTGCTGATATCTCATTTGCATATATAGTGAGAAGAATCAAATTATGCTTTTACTGAAATCTAAATGTGCTACTTCATTGTATCTTTTTGCTCAAACTCTCTATTCCAATCAACGGCTTTGATGGACTAATTAGGCTATAAAGTTACTATGTATGTTCTGCTCTTTAAAACTACACTGAATTAAGCACTCCGATGTAAAAAGGAAAGTGTTTTGTTTGGTTTAAGATTAATTTTGTTTCAAAGCTAAGTTGTTTCTTAGTCTCTTGCAAAGTTGATCTCTGATGATGGCTAATGACATCGTCTTGCTTATACCTGATAGAGTTTGGACTACAACACTACGTTTCTAGAAAAGTGCGTCCTTCCATGGGAACAGTGAAACAGTTTGATGTTCATTTTGTATTTTGTGCCAACAGCCCCATAAACAAGGAGATGGGCCTCAACGCAAGGAAAACCCAACTTATGCTAAAATATAATAGGTTGACTTCAAATTAATATGAACAAAGAAGAGAGAGAGAGATGCGTTTTTCAATTGGCGGTGGGAGATAAGTGTGATTCTTCTCTTTTGGTCCCTCCTTCTCGTTTTGATTCGGTAACCTAAACCTTCTCTTTGCCAAGAAGACACAAACAAGGAAGAAACCTACGTACATAACTTGAACTACTTATCTTTATATTAAAATGGAAAAATAAATCTATTTTATTCTTCTCTTTTTAACCGAAAAATCAAGAAAAGTCGTCAAAATAACTCTAAGATAATACATGTGGAAGAAACAAAACATGCTTGTTGTATTCTGTGACATTCTAGATGTAAACACAATGGGCAATGGCATACTACTTCAAAACCAAAAGAACATGTCTAATAGTAGCTCATGGCTTGGATATAGTTTGGTTCTATGATTCACCAATTTAGTTTTCATGGTCTTTAGGCAAATCCAGATTGCATTCCTCAAAGTGTACAACAAAGTATTATATACTTAGGAGCCGTTCCTTGGCATAAACTTGAAAAAATGAGTAATGTTTGTGTTGTGACTGAAGTTTTTGATATTTTACAATATACAGAAAAGGGAATATGCATGATATCATCTCTTTGAATTTGCGAAAACATCGTAAACGATCAGTAAAATAAAATGACAAAGAGAAAAAGAAGTTAAGAAGTCATCCAAAAATTGGGAGGCCTACTCTCAACTACCAAAAAAACACAAGTGTTTGTTGTGTTAGGTCATTTATTCAGTCACCTAACCTTAACTATATGAAAAATACGTTAAAATTCATATATTAGAAAATTAAAGAAAAAATACGATTAGTCAAATATAACTTCTTTTTTTTTTTTTGGATGAAATAAAAATATGGAAATATCTATCTTTCAATCAAGACCGTCCAAGTATTCTATTTCACATAGTTCTTACGTTTTACCCTAACAAGGACGAGAATTTTATGAGCTTGTAGGGTCACACTACAATGTCCATATATATCACATGAGAATCCAACTCCACTTCATAACATTTCAACACTTGTTTTACTCCCAAAAGTCCCATCTTCTCACAAACCCCATTGTCCTCTCTTCTCCATTTGGGATCAAAGATGGTTTGTGTTTTATTGGTTTTCATATATAACAATGCTCTCTTGTTTTGCTTCAAACGTGTCTGTTTGATAAAGCTCAAACTTCTTTGTTTTTCAGGTTGCCGAGAACAACAACAACAACAACAAAGAAGTAATACTCTCTTCTGCATCAATGGAAAACAACATGAAAGGAACTAAGGTTCATCTTGAGGTTCATCAAAAGGAACCAGCTTTGGTCAAACCCGAATCCGAGACACGAAAGGGTCTTTACTTCTTGTCGAATCTTGATCAGAACATCGCTGTGATTGTTCGTACAATCTACTGTTTCAAATCTGAGGAGAGAGGGAACGAGGAAGCATTCCAAGTAATTAAGAAAGCTCTTAGTCAAGTTCTTGTTCATTACTACCCTCTTGCTGGACGCCTCACCATTAGTCCTGAAGGTAATTGACTGAATACTATTTAATGATCACTTATGTTTCTGTTTCATTGTTGTTTTAAACGCACACAATAACATATTTTAATGTCCTTGATGGTTTTAATAATCAGGTAAACTCACAGTTGATTGTACTGAAGAAGGAGTTGTGTTTGTAGAAGCTGAAGCTAACTGTAAAATGGATGAGATTGGTGACATTACTAAACCAGATCCCGAAACGTTAGGGAAACTTGTTTACGATGTTGTAGACGCCAAGAACATTCTTGAGATCCCTCCTGTTACTGCTCAGGTTTACTTTTCTTCCTCCTCAAGCAATCTTGTCTTTCTTAGGGTTGTAAATTTTTTGAAGTTGAGATCTGATTTGGTAGGGTTTTGAACTAATTTGAGTTAACAGGTGACTAAATTCAAGTGCGGAGGATTTGTTCTCGGACTCTGTATGAATCACTGTATGTTCGATGGTATTGGAGCTATGGAGTTTGTCAACTCGTGGGGTCAAGTCGCTAGAGGCTTGCCATTAGCAACTCCTCCGTTCTCAGACCGAACCATTCTTAGTGCTCGAAACCCTCCAAAGATTGAGAATCTTCACCAAGAATTCGAAGAGATCGAAGATAAATCCAACATCAACTCTCTCTACACCAAAGAGCCAACTCTCTACAGATCCTTCTGCTTTGACCCTGAGAAAATCAAGAAACTTAAGCTCCAAGCAACAGAGAACAGTGAGTCCCTTCTTGGTAACTCCTGCACAAGTTTCGAGGCTTTATCTGCTTTTGTGTGGAGAGCAAGAACCAAGTCTTTGAAGATGTTGAGTGATCAGAAAACAAAGCTTCTCTTTGCCGTTGATGGCAGAGCCAAGTTTGAACCTCAATTGCCAAAAGGGTACTTCGGGAATGGTATTGTTCTTACGAACTCCATCTGTGAAGCTGGAGAGCTTATCGAGAAACCGTTGAGTTTCGCTGTGGGATTAGTCAGAGAAGCGATTAAGATGGTCACTGATGGATACATGAGATCTGCCATTGATTACTTCGAAGTCACGAGAGCAAGACCTTCTCTTTCCTCGACACTTCTGATCACTACATGGTCGAGATTGGGTTTCCACACCACAGATTTCGGTTGGGGAGAACCGGTTTTGTCCGGTCCAGTAGCTTTGCCTGAGAAAGAAGTGACTCTGTTTTTGTCTCATGGAGAACAGAGGAGAAGCATTAATGTGCTTCTTGGACTTCCTGCTTCAGCCATGGATGTGTTCCAAGAACAGTTTTTACAGATATAATATGAACAACGACAAAAAAACAAAAAAAAACAAATATCCAATTATTGTCAAAACCTATTCGTTTTACTCTGTATTTCTTGCTTCCTTATTTTCTTTTTGATTTCTGCTGAATTATTATTATTATTATCTTCATCTTAAACTTGTCTGTATCTTGCATCAAGTTTCAACCATAAATTTATATTATTTCAACAATATTGTACTAGTATTTTGTTTATATTACTAGGTTTGGACCCGCGCTACAGCGCGGGGGAATGTTTTCGGATTCATTTTATTTTTAACGTATTTTATCGTATGTGATATTATTTTTTTTATTTTTGTATTAGTAATTATTATTTCGAAATCTATATTTGGTTTCAGTTCTTTGGGAAAAGTGTGTATTAAGATACAACAATTATATAAAATAAATAAAAGAACCAACCCGTAAAAACCCGTGTATTTTAAAAATAATTAAGAGAAATGAGTAATAAACAAATAAAAGTGTATTTAAATAAATATAATTGAATCATGACATAAAAATGAATATATTTGAAAAATGAGAAAAGTTAAATCCTTATAATATAGGAGTATAACATAGCTTTTGAATTTGAAATAGATGTGACAACATAAATTCAAAATTTACTATGATAACAATTGTAATATTGATTTACATAACTAAACTTTTAATTAAAAAAACTAATAAAGTATACTCTTAGTGATTTAGTAAATATAATATAAGAAATATTTTACGCTGAATATTCAGTTTGAAAACAAAAAAAAACATCAAAATTAATAATTAAAATTATAAATTCGAAAAATAAAATTTGATATTAAAAATAGGTTTGGAAAAAAAATTTTAACCGCGTTGTGCATACATTTTTGAGAATTTTTGAGAAATACCCCTTTTGCTGTACCCCTTTTTAAAAATATCTCCTTTATCTATCAATTTTCAAAAATACCCCTTTTTAAATATAAAAAATTATAAAGTTTAATATAGTTTATAAGGTACTTCTATATAATAATTACTACTGGGAGATTCGATACAAATAATTTAAAATATTTTAAATAGTTTTAAATCGTTTTTATAAGTTTTATAAGGTTTTTAAAAAGATTTATACGGTTTTTATAAGGCTTTTATAAGCTTTTTATAATTTATTTTTACGCTATTTATGAAAGGTATATAAAGTTTTGTACACATATAAAGGTAATTTGTGTATATATTTATAAGCTTATACACATATTTGGATAAATTTTAACATTTTTAGTGGGTTATTTGATAAAGTTTGAAAAAGGGTATTTTTAAAAAGAGGTATATGAAAAGGGGTATTTTTGAAATTCCCCCTACATTTTTTGTCAATCGAGTAATATATGTATGTTTTGGAAAATTAAAATTGCAACATATGTAAAAAAAATGTTGAATTTTTATTATACATTTATATTATATATTGTAATATAAGAAATTAAAAATAATATCACATAAATATAAAAGGAGTATTATTTTTAGTTAGTTAGAGAAATATTAGGAAATCCAAAATTAGATATTAGAATAATATAATTGTAGTTACCAAAATATATGTAATAATATTTAATATGAAAATAAACATTTATTTCAAAGATCCAATTTAAAAATCTGGATTAAAAATTATACATTGATCCGATCCGAGTACTTTTTGTATTTCTCTTTTAATATATAGGAGATGAATTTTTTAAAAATATGTTAGGATTTTTAACTGAAGTTTTATTATTATTGCTTCCAAAATAATAGTAATGATAAATTATGTATTAGTTTTGTTTCTTATAAATTTGAAAACAATATTTGATATTAAAAAAATATATGATTTCATTATTGTTGCATTGTAATTAGCGTAACCAAAAAAAAATAGATTTTTATATTCACATATAATATATATATATATATATATATATATATATATATATATATATATATATGTGT